TTTATTTAAAAAATATTTTTTTTTTAAAAAGTAACGCGCTGGTTTCTCAATGGTAAGGCGAAAAACTGATGACAACTATCTCTGTAGAAGTTTTCTTTCTCATTGTTTAATTTTCTAAAAGCAGCTGTGTTGCAGCTGCACTCGTTCAGCTTTTATGAGAAAATTGACTTAACATTACCTTACTATTTCTTCAGGAAAACAACTATTTATTATGTTGATATATTCTTTGAGCGCTGTCCCTGGAACAGTATCTATCTCTTGTACTCTTTTTAAAGCACCAGTAGTTACAAATAATCTTCTAGCTCTTGCGTCATTAGGAAGTAAAGTCTATAACGATCTTACTAATATTATAAACGTGACAGTTAGTATGGATGGATGTTTGTTACTCGTTGACGCAAAAACTACTGAACTGGATTTTGGTGAAACTTTACAGTAATATAGCTTCTACATCAGAATAACATATAGGCTATAAAATTGTTGAGGGTCAAACTACGGGCATAGCTAGTAATAAATAAATCTATATAATATATCCATGGGTTTTATATTGTGGTTTCTTAAGGGTCGGCAACGCGTTGCTCCCATGGTGTCTCAGACATTCATAGACTACGATAACCGTTTACCATCAGACGGGCCGTATGCTTGTTTGCGACCATAGTAGTATAAAAAAACTGTCTATTGCGTAGAATACAATAAAATAAGTAAAGAAACAACCGCGGATAGCAGTTTTATACCATTTCGTGATTAATTGCTTGCTCTTAAAGAAGGTATGTAGAACAAGTGCGTGAAGAATGTATAATTATAATAAATATATACTCAGAGATATAATTTTATTATTGTTACGATGTTATAATACGTGTGAAAATGTTATTTCTGAATATAATTCAATTAATTCGGTCAAGTGCAAGTTGTGATTGCGCAACGCGTGTTCCGTGATGACTAATTTTAGTAATCATGTATAAATTATATAAATTACTAGTTTCCCACGGCTTCGCTCGCGTTAATTTAACCCCTTAGGGGTGGAATTTATCAAAATCCTTTCTTAGGGGATGCCTACGTCATAGTAGATTTATGCATGCAAAGTCTCAGCCCGGTCGGTTTAAAATTGACAAAGTTTCATACAAACTTTCATTCCCTATTTTATGCCCTTGGGGGTAGAATTAATCAAAATCCTTTCTTAGCGAATCCCTACGTTATAACATCTACCTGCATGCCAAATTTCAGCCCGATCCGTCCAGTGGTTTGGGCTGTGCGTTGATAGATCACTATGTCAGTCACCTTTTAGCTATTAGCACCTTAGATGTACTAATCATCAAGAGTTATAACGTATAGTACAATTTATGACCAATCCTTTATATACACAATCTATACTAATATAATAATGACAAGATTCCTGGACAATCTGCACAACGCCATGTAGTCCCACGCTAAACAGAACTTGTGTGTTGGGTACTAAATAAATACATAGATATATGTATATTTTTTCTATATAGATAGTTAATATATATAGAAAACTCCCAGAGCTATACAAACAATCATACTTAAGAATACAAATCTACTGCATCATGACTAGGGACTGGACACTGCAAGCTGAATAAGCACATGGCGAAATTAGGCCTTAGCAGAAGAGGAAACACCACTGCACATCCTATGTGGCTGTAGCCCACTTATGCATAAACGAAATATCTCCTTTGGAAAGTATACACTATATCCTGAGGAGATAAAAACCATCGCTCCTAAGAATATCGTTCAATTCTTGACCCTTACGGGTCTAGGTAGCGAACTTTGTAAAAAAAGGGCGAGCACAATAGATCTACACAGGTCGTGTTACAGGTCATTGCACCTGGTAATAGCCCAAACCCTCAAATAAAAAAAAAATAGGAATACAAATGTTTGCACCGTGTGAGCAATCATACTCGCGACCATTGATAGTGAAGTGAGGTGTTAAACCACTACACTACCGAGGTCGTTTAAAGGAGTAAAGTTTGTGAAATTGTAGGAAGAAATATCTGGATTTACTGAAACAATTTTGAAAATTATTTTACTAATAGAAAACTACATTATTTGGAAATGTCATAGGCTGTATAACATAACGCTACAATCAATAGGAGCGGAGTTACATTGAAAAACGATCGAAGTTATATTTTCACGTTTACCACCCCTTCATCAACGTATCACGTTATCATGTTACGACTGTAGTACCATTCATTAAACAGCCATTAAAAAACGGCTTAAAATCTAAAGGGGTATCCTGTGATTTCAATGCTAGGTCTCAATTTCAACTGAAACATAGCTTACAAAGTATGTTATGTAGCGGCTAAAATACATGAGAAAGAGGTCCATACAGACGACTTTTTTTAAAGTAATACTCTAGCCCAAGAGCCCACGAAGCCCAAACGTACGTCTTATTAGTAAATGTGAAAGTTCTTGTATATGTGTCCCCAACACAGGTAAGAACGATCCCCAAACATGAAACCTGGATCGTGGTTCCTTTGGCAGGTAACAGGTAACAAAGGTGTAAAAATTTTAAGAAACTCAACTTTTTCACATATCGTTTGTAATAATATTATAACTTGCGCTGTTCATAGCCAGACAGTATGGTTTCAGCTCCCCGCCGGACACCTCTAAACTATATTATTTCATGAATATACTTACGTTATTTTATTAAAGCTGAAGTTTATATATATTATTCAGAGAAAATTAAACTGTGTTTCCTAATTTGCCAGACAGTTTTGATGGTTCTGTCATCCTACCAGAGGCATTGAAAGCGTATATTAGGTAACAACGGTGTATATAATTTCATATCAAATTCGTTAATGTATGAAACTAAATTTTTTCACATATTGCTCGTCACAGTATTATAACTTGCGCTGCTCATTGCCAGACACTTAGTATTATTCCAACCCCCCGCCGGACACCCCTAAACTATATTATTTTATGAATATACTTACATTATTTTATTAAAGCTTAAGTTTATATATATTATTCAGAGAACTATTAAACTGAAATCAACAAAAAGAGGTAGGTCTGGCCGTCGTGGGCTCTTGCTCTACTCAGTACTCATAAGAAGCTAACTTGATATTGTGAGAAATATGCTATATAGATAAAATCTTCAACAGTCTCAATTTCTTCATAGTAATGTAATATAAAACAAAGGTAATTACGACATAAAGAGTACTTGTGTCTGAAATGAATTTCTTAGCATTTTATGGATGATAATGGAATGGTGCACCCGCCTGCGTTAACGGTTTACGCTGGCGGGGCACCAGTGGAGGATGATAAGATGAGCATGAAGTTAGGGCATTTAGCACATCGTGGCAAATTCACCATGAATTTATCACAATGGTTTCCAGGGAAACCGCGTGGAGGTCAATCTGACATGGTACATTGCTATAGGGTCATCAGTCCACATTACTACCAGTTCCCTTCCCCTCAAGTGTGCCGAGGAGTGCCATCTGCACTCGCCCCCTATCGTCCGGTGAAACTGTAAAAGCCAGCTGCGGTCAACATTAGAATAGTCCGAAAAAAACTGCGTTTCGTGACCGCCATGTCATTTAAATGAAACGCCGTGTGAAACCGCGTTCACAGCTAGTATATAACAAAGGTAATTACAACATAGTAAACGTCTGCGCCGGCGCATGAGATGACGCGACGTGACGTAAAGGTTTCGTAAGGCTAACATTGCAGACACTTGCTCGATATAAGACTAGTTCACTTCGGATTGTGAAACGTTGCTATAATATTATAGTTTCAATAGTTATAAGTACGTAATCCATTAATGCATAATAGTTTACCTAGTTCAATACATTTATCTATACATCTAGACATATAAATAAAATTGGAGTGTCTGTTTGTAATATTGAAATAACCGTTTTTTACTACAAGCATCTGAATATAAATACGGTACATAAAACAAAAAAAAAACACTACAATTTTTGTCTGTCTGTCTGTCGGTCTGTTTGTTCCGGCTAATCTCTGAAATGGCTGGACCGATTTTAACGGGAATTTTTTTGTAGATACCTGATGTAATAAGGAGTAACTTAGGCTACTTTTATTTTAGAAAAATAAAGTTAAATTCCATGCGGACGAAGTCGCGGGAACAGCTAGTATGAAATAGATTTATAGAATAAATATAATAGTGTAAAATAACTACTAGTTTGTTAGTTAAAAATTTTAAACTATTTGACTGTATACAGAAAACTATAAGTACCATTCTTAGTATTGCAATTTGTATAATTATAAAATTTAAAATATTAAGTAGGCACTCAAATTAATTAACTTACTTTTTTTTTATTTGTGTAATAAAATATTTACAATTTTTATTAGATTATTTTTATTTGGTAGTCTGAAATAATTAAAAATAATTTGTAGCTAAGCATTATCTTGATCATTTCAACTTGCAAATAAAAAAAACCGCAACAAATCGTTTATAATCCATATAGAACTACAACGCTACACACTGACACGTCAAAATGATGATGGTAATATCCCTGGATAATTCACATAGCGTCATCTACTCCAAGATAACAGGTCTTGAACTTCAACTGATATAAATATTTCGATATTTTTTTGTCCATACACAATATACATATAATATCCAGACCGATACAAACAATCATACTCATGAGTACAGATGTTTGTACCGTGTGAGAAATCGAACCCGCAACCATCGGAAGTAACACGGTGCTCGACCACCATCTTTCTTTTTTTTTTGATGCTTTATAATGGAATGGTGCACCCGCCTGCGCTAACGGTTTACGCTGGCAGGGCACCAGTGAAGGATGATATGATGAGCATGATGTCAGGTCAGTTAGCCCATCGTGACAGATTAATCAGGAATTTGTCACGATGGTTTCCAGGGGGAACCGCGTGGAGGTCAACCTGACATGGTACATTGATAGCAATCAACAAAGGGTCAACAGTCCTCATTACTAACACACCCCTTACCCCCACATCTTCCTTTTTACATCGGGGATTATAAAAATAATTTTCTTTCATTGCAGATGGCCGAAATAATATTTCAGCGACGTAAAGTAGCCACAGTGGTCAACGAACCGAATCCTCTAATAATATTACTTATAATATGTATAGTACAGTTATGTACAAGTCAAGTGATCAACAGAGCACCACACTTCGTGCCACAGACGGGAGATATGAGTGTATTCAGTCTCTCTGAGGACACGCCCGCTGGTACACCAGTATATCAATTAAAAGGTGAGACTGGAATTCAAAATAACGATAATTTACTTACAAAATGAAAAAGAACAGTTATTTTCAAAAATTAACTGCGTAGATAGCTAATAACCAAATCTTAATACATTGTCCAGGAGTATTTAATTAAAAAATTACATGTATAATATATAAATATTTCATTAATAAATAATTGACATATTTATATTATAAATAATGCAGGATCTTAATATTGACGAATATATTATTACAAATAATGGCTGTTTAATTATAAGAATATCTGCCTACTGCGGCTAACAGATCAGACATTAGAATCGTTCAGGAAAAAACTTATGTTATTTTTTTTTTCTATTCAAGGTATTGATCCAGAGAATGGACAACTGCGGTATTCTATATCTGGTCAATATTTCTCTGTGAATCCACAAAGTGGTGTGGTCACGTTAGCAAAAACCCTGGACAGGGAAGAGCAAGATGCACTCGAAGTTATTATTAGTATTACAGGTAAGCTTTAATTAAGTTGTATAAAGTACTAGATTTGCCCACGGTTTCATCTGCATGAAATTTATAGCCTATATGTTATTCTGATGTATAAGCTACATTACTGTAAAGTTTTATCAAAATCCGTACAATAGTCATTACGTGAAAGAGTAACAAACATATTTACAAACTTTCGCGTTTATAATATTACTAGCTTTTACCCGCGTCTTCGCTCGCATAACTTCATTACTGGCTGCTACATGACGCTGAAGTAGCAAAATGTTGATATTTAATTTTTGGTTTTTATTATACATAATAACAAATATTTTTTTTAATAAAAAGTATCCTATGGTCATTTTAATACCTCCAAGAATATGTGTACAAAATTTCATGATGATCGGTTTACTAGTTTTTGCGTGAAAGCGGAACAAACATCCTTACTTTCACACTTATAATATTAGTAAGGGTATTGGTAAGGGTAGTATCACTGGCAAGAAATGCCAGGATTAACACATTCAAAAGACCTACTATCGGGCTTCTCGACCAAATACTCCAATAGATTACTTGCTATTGAGTAAAAACAACATATGCATGATGACTAGGGCCCTCACAGGACACTGCAAATTAAACAAGCATATGGCTAAACTAGGCCTATGCACGACAAGTATCTGCAGATTCTGCCAAACTGAAGAGGAAACGCCGCTTCACATCCTATGTGGTTGTAGCCCACTCATGCATAAACGAAATATCTCCTTTGGAAAGTTTACACTCTTTCCCGAGGAGATAAAAACGATCGCTCCTAAGAATATCCTTCAATTCTTGTCCCTGACGGGTCTAGGTAGCGAACTCTGAAAAGGGCGAGCACAATAGATCTATGTAGGTCGCAGTGCTACAGGTGCTACACATCTGACAATAGCACAAACAATCCAATAAAAAAAATTGGTAAGAGTAACATTTATAATATAACTTATAGTCAAAACCTGATGGTAAATGGCAACCATAAACAGCTCCACAGGTATCGTAGACGAATATGTACTCAAAATAAGTAATAAAATATGTTATAACCAAGTTATCGTTTTAAAATCCCAGATGAAGGCATCGCTGGCACGGAACCCAACACCGTGTCGCTTCGCCGCGTCATACCCGTCAAGGACGTCAACGACAATCCGCCTGTATTTCACAACCGACCGTATATCGTCAACATCAGCGAAGCTACTACTGCTGGAACAGAAATTGAGGTTTACTTTTGTTTATTTCATAACTGTCATCCATTCGATCCTAGAGATGTGTCAATTCGAGTTAACTCGAGTTGAATTCTGCCAACTCGAGTTGGAATTTCATAACTGTCATCCATTCGATCCTAGAGATTGTTGATGTGTCAGTTCGATTTAACTCGAGTTGAATTCTGCCAACTCGAGTTGGAAGTATTCAACTGGTAAATGAACGAATCAGTGAAAGATCGAGAGCATGATACTATCGTCGAACCAACAATGACATGAAATTTTCCGATCATTTCATATCATACAATTTTCACTCGTCACAAATGTTTCAATATTGATTTGAGGTTGTTATCATTTATTTTTGTCGCATATTCGTCCGGTTATGGTATCATTAAATTGATTATGCGTTCTATAAGTCCTTCCGCGGCTTTGAAGTGCCATTTCTACTCGCCCCCTATGCTCCTAGCTGCGGCCAAAAATATTAGATTGGTTCGAAAAATAAAAAAAAACAAAAAAATCTGTTTATTCCAGGTAACTCGAGTTACCTGAACTTCAACTCGAGTTATGTTTATTACGAGTTAGTACATCTCTATTCGATCCATCAAATCAAATTAATCAACGGTGTGTAGGACATTTTAACCGCTTAGGAACGTCATGTTTTTGTATTAATATTTTTTCCCTAACGTCATTCACCTACTAATTTCTTATTAAGTAGTTGAAAATTAAGACCTACGCATTACTGTCATCGCTTTACGTCTCTTTCTTCTTTATTGCAGTATGTTATATATATACCTTACAATTTTGAATATTATTATAAAAATTATTTACTTATTTGTAGATTTATATTGTAAAAAGTATTATTTTTTATCAGGTCACTCCAAATATTATAGTGACAGATCGTGATGAGAATGAAAACTCAGAAATACGAGTGAGATGTACAACAAAAGAAAAAGGAAGCGATGCTGAAGCTTGCAAAACATTTGCGATCGTCACAGATATGGTAACTTTGTTATTTTATATTGCAAACAAAAAACAACTAAATTTACGACACTTACACGAATAATAATGATAACCCGGACAATTCACACAGAGACATCTAGTCACTAAGTAAGCAGAGCTTGTGTTATGGGTACTAGACAACTGGTAGATATATATCTAAAACAATCAATAGGTAGATATATTCACTTAGGTAATTTTTTTGGAAATATATATAAATTACCTAGACCAATACACACAATCTGATAATGATTTAATACAAATATTTAAACCAATAGAAACAGTAATTCTCATTGATACAAATATTTATATTGTACGATGAATCGAACCAGCGACAATCGCCAGTAAACGGGTTTATTATGCCGCTGGATCACTGAGACTGTCAAAGGTAAAATGTGAGACTCCATTTTCCGCAATCAGCCTCAGTATATCTATATATAATCTCATCTGGGCCGTTGTGCGTGTAGAGCCGAGACTACTACAGTAGCCAGCCAAGCCCCTCCCAATATCGCAGTCTCCTGGTGGTTTCAGAGGTTTCACGGAGCGACCTCACCGTTCCGAAGATGTGTGTGGCCACTGCTACGCACATGCTGCTAAAGGTAATACAATTCGAAAGGTAAATAGAGTTGTTTTATATTTTCAGATTACTCCTAACCAGTACCAAGTTCGAATTTTTCTCAATAATCTATTAGACTTTGAGAGTAGATCAGCATATGTCATTAGCTTAGAAGCGTCTGATTCGTCAAACAAACCTCTTCGAGCAACGGCTAGTGTTTCTGTGGCAGTATCAGATGTTCAAGATCAACCACCTTCATTTATCAATGCACCATATTCAGCAACAGTACTTGAAAATACTCCACCCGTATGTATACATTCTGTTAATATAATAATAATATTAATAATAATTTCCCGGAACAATTCACACAACGTTATATAGTCCCAAGATAAGCAGAGTTTGTGTTTTGGGTACTAGGTAACTGATATATTTTTGTAAATATACACATAATATACACAGCAAACACCCAGACCAATACAAACAATCATACTCATGAATATAAATGATTGTACTGTGCGAAGCATCGAATCCGCGACCATCGGAAATTAAAACGGTGGCGTAAACCGCTAGACCACCGAGGCCGTCTTCAATGTACTATGTACAAGTACTGCAGTTTATTATTTAAACAAGTAATTATTGAAATCATTATAATTTACCATCACATTAATTATTATACAAAGTTTTAAATTTCTGAAGCTTTAACAATTCAGAAATTTAATACAAGAGACAAAACTATTGTTTATAATCCTTTTCACAGAATACTAGTATAATGGAAATTGTAGCAAAGGATGGCGACACTGCAAATCCTCGTCCAGTATTACTAACATTAGAAGGTGATACAGAAAAATATTTTAAATTATTACCTGAAAGATCCATAGGTCGTTCTGTACTGGTCACTTCAGACATACCGATAGATCGAGAGAGCGATGTAGTAATCCAAAATGGAGGAGTGTATAACTTTTTTGTTAAAGCCACAGAATTAATAAATAATGAAGTGCCCTCTGATTATACTGTGACACCTGTTACAATAATTGTGACAGACGTGGACGATCATGTACCAAAATTTAATAAGGAAGTATTTGATATATCAATACCAGAAAATATTGAAAATGGAAGTCCTATACCTGGTTTATCGATATACGTTGAAGACAACGACATAGGGCAAAATAGTAGATACGATTTAAAATTACGAGATGTATTTAATTCCGAAGGCATATTTACTATAAGTACGGAACACGGGGAAGGAAGAACACCAATTAGTATCAAAGTGAAGGATTCGACAAAACTTGACTACGATGTCGACAATGAAGAACAAAGACTTTATAGTTTCGACATCGTATCGTCAGTGGGTAACTTGGATTTGTCTTCCGCTCGGGTCAATATCAAACTTTTAGATATGAATGATAATGCACCACTTTTTGAAGAACCAAGTTATAAGTTCAATGTACTAGAAAATGCAACTATTGGTACTAAAATTGGTGACGTTCAAGCTACTGATAAGGACTATGGCATATTTGGTGAAATAGATTATATATTAACTGGATTTGGTTCCAATTTATTTAAGACTGATAGTAACAAAGGTGGTATATATGTTGCACAACTACTGGATTATGAAAAACAGAAAAGTTACAGTTTGACGCTTCTAGCAAAAGATGGAGGAGGTAAAGGAACCACAACCAGCATTTATGTGGATGTATTGGATGTCAACGACAACGTTCCGATGTTTGAATCTGTAGATTACAGTAGAACTATTAGAGATGGAGCCACTAGTTTTGAACCTCAACTTATAATTAGAGTAAGTAATAATTACGTATTTCTTGTTTATATAACTATTATCAAGTATTTCAGTGTTACAAGAAATAATATTTTTATTTACAGGCAACCGATGCAGATGGACCAACACAAGGCGATGGCCAAATTAGATATACACTAGAATCTGATAATAGTATTACGAATAAGGGTAATGTGTTCACAGTTAATGAAGAAACTGGAGAAATTACTATTGTAGATAAAGTTGAAACTATGGATACTCCGAGAGGACAATATGAACTTGTTATAAGAGCTACTGATTATGGTAGGTTTTTCAATAACTTTTAGATAGTTATAATATATTATTTTAATAAGGAAGATTTTATTTCCCTGCATATTTATCTAATGATAACTAAGAAGCCACCAAATGTTACAACAGTGGTATAAGGTGTTATTTTATGTATTAATAATGATTAACTGTAAAAAATATTATAATTGTTGTATATAATTGATTAATTTCATTATAGGAACTCCGCCACTTTACAATGAAACAAAAGTTTATATACGTGTAGGCGTACCAGGCAATCAACGACCGACATTCAAAGGAAATTATCATCACTACAAATATACCTTAACACAAAGAAACCCAGAAAGTAATGAGGACTACACATTCGATTTAAATCCTATGAATTACAAAGCCAGTATCAGGGAAGATGCTAAGCCAGGAGAAAATGTTACGACCGTTATTGCTAACGACCCGGATGGATTAGATAATCTTTTGACATATCATATAGTTTCGGGATCTAAGGATAACTTTGTCATTAATGAAAAGTAAGATAATCTTATAAATATAAGCATAATATTCCAAAATAAAATAAAAAAATTCTGCTTTAACATATTTACAAACTTGTTTACTCTTTACAGGACTGGTTTGATTACTGTTTCAAATGATGCAAATTTAGATAGAGATGTAAATGCTGATAAATACGAAATTCTAGTATCGGCTGTAGACAGTGGAATGCCAGTACCAGAAACCGCTACCACTACAGTATTTATCACAATTCAAGATGTTAATGATAAAGCACCAAAATTCAATATGACCGATTCAACCACATACATTTCAGAGAAAACTAAAATTGGAGACATAGTCACGAAAATATCTGCTTATGATACAGATGTTAATGCCCAACTAAAATACAGTTTAATCGAACCTATAAAGGCATTCTCAAAAGCTGGTGTTCAACTGAAAGCAAATGCTCCATATGACTACAAAAACATATTTCGAATTAATGAAGATACTGGAGAAATACTTGTTAATGGTGCTTTAGATTATAGTCAGGCATCAATTGTTATATTAACTGTAAAAGTTATCGACACAAACGCTGAACTTAATAAAGATAAACAGTTTGCTCATATCGAACATACGATATATATTCAACCATACGCGGATAAAAATCCACAGTTTACAAACGCGGGTTGGTCCAGTTCTAGTTCAATAATATACCATAGAATTAAAGAAGAACAGCCCATTGGTAGCACAGTTTTAGTTTTGACGGCTGAAGATCCTGTTTCTGGTCATGTTATAACAAATTTTAAAGTCATAAATTCTGAAACAGGACTATTACAAGTTGATCCGTTGAGTGGTCAGGTAGTCTTAACTAAACATCTTGATTATGAAGAGCTATCTACTTCTAATTTGACACTAACCGTTAAAGCCACTAGTAATGATGGTAGTAAACATAGTATTGGCAAGATCATAATTGAAGTCATGAATTTAAATGACAATGCTCCGTTGTTTGAGAAAGAGGTAAGAATTTTATATGAACACTAGCTTTTGCCAGCGGCTTCGTTCGCGTTAATTTATCCCCTTAGGGTTGGAATTTATCAAAATCCTTTCTTAGGGTATGCCTACGTCATAGTAGCTTTATGCATGCAAAGTTTCAGCCCGATCAGTTTAAAATTGACAAAGTTTCATACAAACTTTCATCCCCTATTTTATCCCTTTGGGGGTAGAATTAATCAAAATTCTTTCTTAGCGGATGCCTACGTCATAACATCTACCTGCATGCCAAATTTCAACCCAATCCGTCCAGTGGTTTGGGCTGTGCATTGATAGATCACTACGTCAGTCACCTTTGAGTTATATATATTTAGATTTTTTCAGGCAGATTAGAATAGACCCTTGTAGTTTGTTGTAAAACCTAATAAAAAATAATAATAATATTTATAATTGTTTTTTTTAGCTTTATAAAGTAAGTGTATTAGAATCTGTGAAACATCCCGAACAAGTAGTGACAGTAAAAGCAACAGATGCAGATGCTGTGCTCACTGAAAACGACAAACACAAAGGTTACGCAGATATTCGTTATACACTCAAAGGAGAAAATTCAGATCTATTCTCTATTGACAATGTTACTGGAGTTATAAAGGTAGATATTATTTAATTGCAATTTTTATAATTTAATGCTAATAACGTAGTAAAATCTGACGCCCTCGGTGGTCTAGCGGTCTAGCACACCGCTTTACGACCGATGGTCGCAGGTTCGATTCCTCGCACGGCACAAACATTTGTATTAAGTATGATTGTTTATATCAGTCATGGTATGTATGTATGTATGTGTAGGTATGTATTTACGACAAAAAAATATCTATATATTTATATCAGTTGTCTAGTACCTAACACAAGCTCTGCTTACCGTGGGCATAGATGGCGCTGAGTTAATTGATTAAGATTTTATTATCTATATATACATATAAATAAAATTGAGGTGTCTGTTTGTAATATTGAAATAACCGTTTTTTTTAATACATGCATATGAATGTAAATACGGTACATACATCAAAATAACATTTATTAAATTTTTGTCTGTCTGTCTGTTTGTTCCGGTTAATATCTGAAATGACTGGATCGATTTTCACGAGACTTATTAGCAGGTAGCTGATGTAATAAGAAGTAACTTAGGCTACTTTTATTTTAGAAAAATGTAGTTAAATTCCACGCGGACGAAGTTGTATGTATAGCTAGTTAGAAATAAATAATCTTTCAGATAGCACCAAATAAGACGTTGGATCGAGAACGCCAATCTGTACTACGGTTGATAGTGGAAGCTGCAGATACGCCTAATGGTGGGGCGGATCGTCTCAAGTCAGAAACTACCGTCTTAATCGACGTCTTAGATGTCGATGATAACGCACCGGCTTTTGAGAAGAATGTATATACAGGTATGATTTTGAGACTTAATTTAGTTCAGTTTAAATTCAAATTCAAAAATCATTTATTCACGTAGGACATTTTAGTCGCTTATGAACGTCAGATTATTCATTTATATCTTTTTCCCTACCGTCCAGTTCAGTATGAAGATTCAGTTGAGAAGAACTGGCAAGAAACTCAATTGAATTTCTTTTTTTTAAAGCCAGTTTATTTACAATGTATATTTATTTGTAAACATATATAACTTAAAGATTACTGACATAGTAATCTATCAACGCACAGCCCAAACCACTGGACGGATCGGGCTGAAATTTGGCATGCAGGTAGATGTTATGTCGTAGGCATCCGCTAAGAAAGGATTTTGATTAATTCTACTCCCAAGGGGATAAAATAGGAGATGAAAGTTTGCATGAAACTGTCAATTTTAAACCGGTCGGGCTGAGATTTTGCATATTTAAAGCTACTATGACGTAGACATGCCCATGGTAAGATTTTAATAAATTCCATCCTTAATTCCATATTTATTTTAATATAAATAACGACGCTTTCAAAATTTTAACAGAAAGATATGGCAAGAAAGGAAGAATATAATGAGAACAGAAGAGAAAAAGATGTTATGCCGGCCCCAAATGTTTGGGATAACCATATGATCTTTCTTTTAAAATTTTGAAAGCGTCGTTATTTATATTAAAATAAATATGATGATTGAAAAGAACGAAGAAGCAGACGATGATGACTTTGGAAAATTTAATAAATCGAATCAAATAAAAAATAATTTATTACTGTAGGGCGTTTAAGTCGCTTATGAAAGTCCAGTTTTTTTATATTAGAAGGATAGATAGATAGATAGATAAGTTCTTTATTCAACAATTACAAACACTTAGCATACATGAGATACATTTTATAATTAGAAATAAAGTTTACAAATTAAATAATACAGAAATATAATATTACAAATAAAATAAAAATGGAGGTGGCTTTATGTGTCGCAATGATGAATAGGCAACCAACTCAGCATGAAGCTACAGATAAGTCTGCAGCGCTGATACTCTGGCTCCTATAATTAAATACACACTTATATACATATATACGTAAATGTTTATATATTACATTTCGAGCTCTTAAACAATTATACAATTACAAAACATTATACAATATATAAATAGATTAAAAATGATGTGATGTGTTATGTAATACATATATTGTTAACCTATACATACTACGTACATAAATAATAGGTGTTGTTAGCATATGTATATAAGGTCGCTGGCTAAACGCGCCGTGAGTCAGACATTATTGTTTAATGTTAATATGTTTTCCCTACCGTCCTTTATACAGATTGCTATTGATATGAATTGGCATGGTTGAATAGAAGTTTAAATATATTTAAATGTTTATAACGTTTACAGCTGTCGTGCCAGAAAATGTGGCAGTCGGGAAAAGCGTCATTAATATTACTGCAACAGATCCCGATGAAGGATTGGGTGGTGAAATTAAATATGATTTCCTGGATGAAGGTGAAGCCAATGGTAAGTTAGCCAAAGTCATATAAATTACTATATTTACATAGTATAAAATGGAGTTGCTTTCGCTGTCTGTTCGATTAGATCTTTTAAAATTTGCAAAGCAATTTTAATGCAGTTTCAGTAATACATGTGATTCAAGAGGAAAGTTTATATGTATAATACATGTACACCCGTGTGAAGTCGGGGTGGATAGCTGGTATAAAATAAATGAGATCGGTGGTCTAGCGGTGTCGCACACCTCTTTATTTCCGTTGGTTGCGGGTTCGATTCCTCGTACGGCGCAAACATTTGTATCCATTAGTATGGTTGTTTGTATCGGTCTGGATGCTTTCAATCACAGATAACATAATATTACATACGTTCAGTGTATATTATGTATGTATTTAAGTATTTATATCAGTTGTCTAGTGCCCATAACATAAGCTCAGCGTAGTCTGTGGGACTAGATGACGCTGTGTGAATTGTCGTGTTTTTTTCGGACTACTCTAATGATGTTGGCCGCAGATGGCCTTTACAGCTTCACCGGACGAAGGGGGCGAGTGCAGATAGCACTCCAAACCTGCAGAAGTGCTTATGGAATTGAAGGCTTACTCCTACCTAACGGATACGACTTTAGATAGTAGTTTAGAGGGCACATCTAGAGATTCGAACCTCGGCTCAGGCCGCCGTAAATTCCTTTGCTTATTAAGTTATTTTTATATATAAACACTAGTTGTGCCCGCGGTTACTTCCGCGTTAAATTTCAATATAAAATACAGCCTATGTGTTATTCTGATGCATAAGCTGTATTACTGTAAAGTTTCATAAAAATTCGTTCAGTAGTTTTTGCGTGAAAAGAGTAAACTTACAAACTTTCGCATTTATAATATTAATAATAAGATAGTCATTTAATAATGCGGTGTCTCAGGCTACGGTAACAATTTACCATTGGATAGGCCGTATGCTTGTTTGCCACCATCGTAATGTAAAAAAAAACTAATCTATACATTATTTAAATTATTAACCGGGTCTTAACACGAATAATTTTATGGCAAATAAAGGTATTTACCTCTCTCGACGTTTCGACTAGGTTGCACTAGCCGTGGTCATGAGATGACACGTCTATTCGTGTTAAGACCCGGTTAATAATTTAAATAATGTATATTAAACACGAAAGTTTAAAATTAACTAATCTATACATTTCAGGTCTCTTCACAATAGATCCAAAAACAGGGGAAATAAGAACACGTTGGGATTTAACAGGCCGCGGTCGAACAGACCCTTACAGGCTGCTGGTGGGTGCCACAGACGGCGGAGGTCACACGGGGGACACTTCATTGTCCCTGTACATTGGGGACGTGAGCGCCAATGATGGGGTCCCCAGGTTTATTAGACCTGCAGCTGGTGAGGTCCTGACTGTTAGCGAGGTAAATTGAAAGCAGCACATGCATGTGTAAGATATTCTAAATTCTAAACCGTCTGTGGACAGGTTTTTTTTATTATTTTTATATTGCCCTCATTTTTTTTATACATTTTTAGAATTAAAAATCGATAGATTGTAAATTTTTGTTTGTTTCCTTAAAATTGTTCATTCCTGAAACTGTATTTACTTTAATACTGTAAATCATCGTTCACACCTTAAATAATTATAAATTATATATATAATTCTTAAAATATACCGGTTTTCTCCAAAAACTCGAACAAATTGGAATAACTTAAAAGTATACTCATGGAAATAAAAAGAAGTTTTTTTTAAAAAACCATTAATAAAAAACAATACAGTTGGACGCCTGAAACAACAGAGGTGTCACATGCACGTTGCCGACCCTTAAGAAACCTTAATATACCCTTCTTGAAAAACCTCATGCTGTAGTCTCTCGAGAAACCTCGGCAGTTAGTTCATTACACAATCTAAGTTTAATATTTATTATTTTAATGTTTGTGCTGTGATAAAACGTTTATAAAGTTTATTAATTAATATTTATAAATTAAATATAAAGAACGTAAAATAAAGAATACCTGTTGCAAAATGTAAAAAATAAACTAGAAATAGCTATAATGTTAATGTTGTATATAATGTGTTATACATCACTTATTATTTATTTCATTTTAATGCTCAAAAACAATATGTACCTATGGCGGATTTAACACCATACGGCGTTATCTACTACGTTAGGCAACCAGGAGTGGTGCAGAGAAAGATTGTTGGCGGTGCACTATTATGCTAAAATTTATTTTTTTAATCCTAAAGATTTTTTTTTTGTATTTTTGTGTACTACAATCTGTCACAATTGAACATTAAGTAGTATGTTTGTTGGGTTATCTCGTCGTGACAGGCTCGGTATGTGTTACACACATCCTACTTTACTTTACATATGCACTGTTTATTTGGCAAGGTCTTGCGGCATTTTGCGTTTTATTCTGCGACTAGATTGGCTCACTTTCATCAGTGTCTTTGCCAGGCGGTTGGGATGATTTTTCATTCTTTAATCGTATGATTTGGTTTCTTTTAAAATCTCTTGTTTGACAGTGTTTATCTCCAGATCATGATGCAGCTGTTCATTTGTGACATACCAAAGTGCATTGGTTACTATTATGCAATATATTTTTTTTTAATCCTAAAGATGTATTTTTTTTTATATATAATTTGAATTATATGTATGTTATATTTACAGAATGCTACAATTGGATCGACAGTATTCCAAGTGGTAGCGAGTGACCCCGACGACCCAAATCAACCGTCTGGACAACTTTATTATTCTATACAACAGAGTAATGCTGATGCCAAATCATTTGCTATTGGTAACTATTCTTATCTTTACGAATATTTTTGTTTATTGATGATAATGGTATGGTACACCCTGCGCTAACGGTTTTCGATGACGGGGCACCAGTGGAGGATGATAAGATGAGCATGAGGTCAGGTCAGTTAGCCTCGTAACAAATTCATCATTAATTTATCACGAAGGTTTCCAAGAGGAACCGCGTGGAGGTTAACTTGACATGGTACATTGCTAGCAATAAGATCATCAGTCCACATTACTAACAATCTTCTTGCGAGAGGTATACCAGCGAAATCTCTCTCTACAAGCTTCTAAAATAGGGATGTTCAACACGCGGCCGTTACACATACTTTAGCATATGATCGCTATACAACTAATAATAAAATGATAGAACATACTGAACCAAAACAATTTTTTGTGACGAGTCGGCATCTTGTTCATACATACAATACGAACGTTTGTTTTAAAATTTGTATAGGAAATATTTACTTTTTTAAAATTCTAATGTATATAATTATATGTAATCTAAATATAATCTAAATATAAAGGTGATTGACATAGTGACTTATCCACGCACTGCCCAAACCACTGGACGGATCGGACTGAAATTTGGCATGCAGGTAGATGTTATGACGTAGGCATCCGCTAAGTAAGGATTTTGATTAATTCTACCCCCAAGGGGATGAAAGTTTGTATGAAGCTTTGTCAAATTTAAACCGATCGGGCTGAGACTTTGCATTCATAAAGGTACTATGATGTAAGGAATCCCCTAAGAAAAGATTTTGATAAATTCCACCCCTTAGGGGATAAATTAACGCGAGCGATGCCGCGGGCAAAAGCTAGTGAAATATAAAATTATATATGTACATAGATTTTGTTTAGTTGTTTATATATTATAGTATTATTATCACAAATTTTCGCCATCACTGCCCTACAACGCTTTCTAGTTCTACCCAAACGTTAGCTGGTAGAGAATACCATATGGCATTAAGCTCGCCTCTTGTACACTCTTTATAGTGCAATAAATTATAAAAAAAACATATAAAAATTTAAATTCTATATATTTGACGACCTCGGTGGTCCAGCGGTCTAGCACACCGCTTTACGACCGATGGTCGCGGGTTCGATTCCTCGCACGGCACAAACATTTGTATTCATGAGTATGATTGTTTGTATCGGTCTGGGTGTTTTCTATATATAATATGTATGTATTTACAAAAAAAAATATCTATGTATCAGTTATCTAGTACCCATAACACAAGCAAGATAAAAAAAAAAATGTAAAATAAGAATTTAAATATCTTGGCCTGTCTAGAACTGCAGTATATAAAGAAATGTTGTTATTGTTGTGTTGTGATGTGTGACGTAATAAATATTATTCTATTCTATTTTAAAAACAATTCCAGATCCCCAGTCCGGTATAATAACAACACGCCAGTCCCTAGACAGAGAACGTAAGGCGTCGTACACACTAGTGTTGTTAGTGAGCGACAGAGGTCAGCCGCCACAGCAGAGTACCAGAATTGTGACTGTCACGGTTGCAGACGTTGATGACCACAAACCACATTTTGCACGCAACTTGGTAAGTTAATAATACTGTTTCAAATTTAACGCGGCCATTATTACGTATTAACTCGGCTAGCATTACAGTTAAAGTCTTGGGTTATTAATTAAATCTTATTTCTCACATAGTGACCGGCATTTGTTATTGTTACTTACGTATATTAATTTTTATATATGTTTTTAGTGTACAATAAATTGAGGTAGATATTATTTGACCCCTAGATTTATTAACGTGCCCACGGGTGATCACCTGATCCTAACTTGTAAATTTAATTTCGTTGCGGAGTGAACCCACCGGTTGATGTTAACGTGTTGATGTTAAAAAAACAATAAAAACATAAGATACGGTGTCGCAACGTTAGCTATTACTCTCTCTCTCTCTCTCTCTCTCTCTCTCTCTCTCTCTCTCTCTCTCTCTCTCTCCCTCCCTCCCCTCCTCTTTCTCCCCCTCCTCTCTCTCTCTCCCCTCCTCTCTCTCAACCCCCTCCCCTCCTCTCTTTCTCTCTAGTCCTCTAAACATCCCGTGATTTTTCCCAATGTATATTTTACTGCGCGTGTAGAACAAAGAATTAATATACTTAAACGGGTTTTGACATGAATAATGTCATGCACATTTCATTTTTAATATAGTGAACAGTATGAAACTTAATGGTTCATGTTTTATGTTCATCAAGGATGATCCTCCGTTATTGATGACAATCAAAGAAGAAGTGCCAATTGGAACTGTCATTGGGACATTCGAAGCGATTGATGAAGACATTGGTGATAATGCAGCTATAGACTACACAATTACTGGTAATTATAATAAAATAGCGATTTTTAATAATAATAATACTTGGATTGGAAATTGTAATTTGTATTAGTATGTAATACATCACATACTAATACAAATTACAATTTTATATCAATTTTTCTGTTATCCAAGTATTATTATTATTAAAAATCGCTTAACTAAACTAAACTTAATAATTTAATAATAATTCACACAACTCCAACTAGTCCCAAACTTGTGTAATGGGTACTAGACAACAAATATAAATACATACAACCAATAACTACATACTAAAAATGTACATAATAATAATAATAATAATAGTAATCTCTCTCTAAAACTTCTGTTATAGGTACTAGATAACTGATACATGTACATAGATATTTTTTTTGTAAATAGATACATATTATACATAGAAAACACCCAGACCGATACAATATCGATCCCAAGGCCGTAATATCGATCCCCGTTTGAATTGGACGGGGGATCGATCGAAGGGGGGGCGTCCCCTCCGATCGATCCCCCGTCCAATTCTATTCCGTCCGTCCGTTCGCCCTCCCCTCTGACTCAACCGGGATCGTTTCGAATGAGACACAACAGATGCCATCGCAATATATTACGCACTACTAGTCATAACGTAACGATACTAAATGTACTAAACCATCACCGTTCTATCGCGTCATGTTAAAACATATCACACAAGTATAAATCCACCTTAATCTTAACCATCATCATCTACTTCTTCCTTATCACATTTATTTGTGGTCGTCGTAATATGTTTTTCGCTTCCATTATATTAATTTTAAAATATGTTTTCTTTTTAAAATATTTTTTATTTTCTTATAATAATGTATGTTGTTTAAAATATTGTACAATAATTTGAGGTAGATATTATTTAACCCCTAGATTTACTAACGTGCCCACGGGTGATCACCCGTCCATTTCTGGTCCTAACGTGTAAATTTACTTGCGTTGCGAATAGAACCTACCGGTGGGTATGCAGTCTTTAACGTGTTGATGTTAAAAAAACAATAATAACGTAAGATACGGTGTCGCAACATTAGCCCCTCTCTCTCGCTCTAGCTCTCTCTCTCTCTCTCTCTCTCTCTCTCTCTCTCTCTCTCTCTCTCTCTCTCTTTCTCTCTCTCTCTCTCTCTCTCTCTCTCTCTCTTTCTCTCTCTCTCTTTCTCTCTCTCTCCTATTCTCTAGTCACTTTGTTCTCTAAAATGTTTTTCGCTTCCATTCATACCTGTTCGCAGTCATCGCGTTATTTACTTCCTTTCTTACCATATCATCTTTCACACAGTCCATCTATCTCTTTTTCGGCCTTCCTCTGCCCTTATAACCATCCACATTCATATGTAACACCTTTCTTAAAATATTATCCTCATTCCTACGCATTACATGTCCATACCATGATAGACGATTACTCTTCAACCTCTCTAACACCGGTGCCACTTTCATACTTCCTCTAATGTATTCATTCTTTATCTTATCCATTCTTGTCACACCACACATCCACCTCAACATTCTCATTTCAGTTGCATGCAGTCGTCTTTCATCCGTCGCCTTTACGGGACAGCACTCTGATCCATACAAGACAGCAGGCCGGATCATGGTCTTGTAAATCTTCCTCTTAAGCTAAAGGGGAACACGCGAGTCACATGATAATGAATATAATATTTTTGCAGACGGAAATAAACTTGGTCTATTGACATTAGAGCGCACAAATAATAGTAAAGCAGTTATAAGAGTTGCAGCCAGGTTGGATAGAGAGGCGATATCTAAGGAATTGATTACTGTGAAATGTTTTAAATATAATACTAAACCGAAATTGAATATTGCTTATAACAGATTGGTAAGTAAATAATATCATTACATAGTATAAAACAAAGTCGCTGTCTGTTCGTCCCTATGTATGCTTAAATCTTTAAAACTACGCAACGGATTTTTTGAACCGTTTCGTTTAATAGATAGTGTGATTCAAGAGGAAGGTTTATATGTATAATATATGTACACCCCCGTGTGAAGACGGGGCAAGTAGCTAGTATTGTAATATATCCAGACCACTACAAACAATCATACTCATGAATAAATTTGTACCGTGCGAGGAATCGAACCCGCGACCATCGGAAGGAAATCGGTAGACTAAAATTACCTAAATATGTGGCTTATTTTACTAACTAAGGTTTCTTAAAGACTGTATATTAATCATTTTAATACGAAGAGAAACTAACGTCGCTGGTGGTAAAAGATATATTTCAAAGGTGATATATAATAATAGAACAAACGAAAAAACGTATTTAAAATGTAAATATAAACAATCTATACATATAAATAAAATTTGAGTGTCTGTTTGTAATATTGAAATAACCGTTTTTTACTACATGCATATGAAAATAAATACTGTACATACACCAAAATAACATTTTTTCCAATTTTTGTCTGTTTGTTTGTTCCGGTTAATCTCTGAAATGGCTGGACCGATTTTGACGGGAATTTTATTAGCAGGTATATAATGTAATAAGGAGTAATTTAAGCTATTTTTATTTTGGAAAATAAAATTATTTTCCACGCGGACGAAGTCGCGTGGACTAGAGCTAGTATATAATAAAAGTCTAAAAACGAGCGTCGTCACAGCATATTTGAAACATATTGTCGATTAAATAGAAAAATCTCATTTTTAAAAATTAGACATTAGCATTGCCTCCTATTTCCTATAAGACAATTAAATTAACCACGCAGTCTTAATCATTATCTAAATACTTTTAAAATGATATATATAATACTTCTGTATAAATTGAAAACTTGAAAGGAAAAAATAATTTAAATAAATTAAAAGAAAAACTTTAAATGCTTATCTTGTAAAAAAATTATATTTAGAATACTGCAATTTTTCTATTTAACCGACGATATATTGATATATTACAGGATCCGTCAGAAATTCAAATATTAATCAAGGTATTAGATATCGATGACCACCTACCACAATTTGAAAGTGCCAATTTGACCATTGGAGTACGTCTTAACGTACCAGTAGATACCAATGTTGCAACTGTTAGAGCTGCAGACGAAGATCCAGATGCACTGCCAATACATTATAAAGTTGTCAACATGAGTTTTGAATCGCCGATAAAAACGAAATCAGTAAATAATATTACTAATGTTATTGTATTGAATAATGTTACTGGAGAATTGAAGATTATGAAGAATCTAATACATTACGCTGATGGGATATTTAGGTAAGATTTCGTTTAAATAGAATAGAATAGAAAATCATTTTTTTCAATCTACCGCTCATTCGGAAAGCTAACTCATCACAAGAAGAATGAGTGAGAAACTTTCGTGTTGCTCTTTTAAATAATTTTGTTATTACTTTACAAATAAAATAATATTTATATAAAATTAAAAATAATATTTGTTCAAATAAATTTAATATAAGTACTTTTGAATATATTTTGTGATTCTACCACTCATTCGGAACGCAGACTAGAAGAAGAATGAAAAATATCTGAACCAAGTTTCATATTTCTTTTATCTTTAAATAGCTAAACTATCAACGAGTGGATAGTTTAGCTATTTAAAGATAAAAGAAATATGAAACTTGGTTCAGATATTTTTCATTCTTCTTCTAGTCTGCGTTCCGACATAGGTTTATAAATAAATAAATAGAAATGTTAAACACATTATTTGCGTAACAAGCTACCTCCGTGACATTAAAAATAATAGAAATAGAAATAATTGTTATTCAAATAATCTTAATATAAGCACTTTTGTATGGTCATATATTTTTTTAATCTACAACTTATTCGGAATGCAGATTTATCATAAGAAGAATGTGCAATAAACTTGGTTATTACTCTTTTAAATAAATATTCTTCATAAGTACATTTTTAAGAATTACGATGATGAAAATTATTATCCATATTTATCAGATTTTTATCCATATTATCCCGTAATATTACAGTTGTTACATTAAATCATAATAAAATATAATGTTTAACATAAAATATTCTTCCTATAAGTCCACATATTTTTTACAGTTGTAAAATTTTTATGATATAAATCTACAACAATACTCAATTAATAAAATCCATTGATGTAGGTGTATAAGATGTGGTATCTAACAAAATTCGTATTAACCATAAAATAGGAGACAGCCCCAGCGAATCGATTACGAGCACAGGATCTTAATGTATAAGTCCTACATACTAAATTGTAGTATATTTGCAGACTTGTGGTACGTGCTAACAATTCGGAAGACCCCGAAAGATTCAGCGATATATTAATTGAGGTAACTTTATAATTTTATACTTTGTTTTTTTATTTTAACATAAATACACTTTTAGTATATTTCGATTCTCCATAAAGCATATAAATAATATATCGAAACTAATATTATATTCAAATATAATATATATTATATATATTCAATCAATATAAAAATCAATTTATGTAATATATAAATTGACCAATACAATATATTATTATATTGTATGACCAATAAACTGAACGTGATATATAAACGTGATATATGAATTATTGTACATATATTAAACAATCATAATATATTCATGTTTTAAGTTAATGTTTTTGTAATTAAGGATTTCTGATTCCTGCGACACAAGCCCTGAGCTTAGTGCAGAGATTGCTGTTAATTGTCCTGTCTACAACCATTGATGTAATGTGTACAAATAAATAAATAAATATTCCTGGAGAATATGTCATGGCTGACCTGAGCTCATGTTCATCTTATCATCCTTCCCTGGTGTTCCGCTACCGTACACTTTTAGCATAGGCGGGTGCGCCTTTCAATAGAAAAAATATCACTAATTGTAAGACAAAAAAAATGTGAAATTCTAGATCGTGGTGGTTCGAGAACGAGATCTACTGCGACTGGTGTTGGGTGGCGGTGGAACTCGTGCGAGGGTGGTGGAACTACGAGATCGCATGTCCGCTGCACTCGCTACGAAAGGTCTTCGTATGCAACTGCATGATGCTGCGCATACGGCATTTTATGCCAACCCTGGGTAATTATTATTTATTAAGTTGAATTAGTGATTATTTAAAACTGACTTGGAAAGATTTGTACTTTTCAGATGGCTTCTGGTCTAGCGATTTAGACCACCTTACTTCCGATAGTAGTAGGTTCCAATCCTCGCTCGGGACGTTTGTTTTTTGTAACACTTCTTTGTACAGATTATGTATAAAAGGACACATATAACTTAGAATATAAATGGGTTTATTCCAGTCACTTAAAGGTTGACTGGAATAAATCCTCTTTAGGTATAATAGTGATGTTACGGAGCTCCGTAACCGTAACCGAATCCGAAATAAAAGTGTCGGATAATAGCGGATAGGAGCGGAGCTAATTGAGACACGTTATGTAACCATTTTATAAGCTATTTGTATTTTACTATTTTTTAAGGAATATCCTTAAAAAATTAATATCCGTAACCGAAATTATCCGAATCGAAATATCGAACGGATAATCCGAAATAATTTCATATCCGCATCCGTATCCGTATCCGGTATAATAGTCGTTCCTATATCCGAAACATATCCGTATCCGAAATTTCATATCCATAACATCCCTGGTACATAAATAATAATATTTAACTATTATTTTAATAATAGCATGTATTCATGAGTATATATCGGGATAGGTGTTTTCTATGCATTTTAACTATTTACAAAAGAAATATGTAAGTATATTAGTTGTCTATACTGTCTTACTATATACCCATAACACAAGCTTTGCTTACATTGCGATACAGTTGGCGCCGTGTGAATTGTCCAGAGTTATTCAAATTCAAAATATCCTTATTCATGTAGGTCTATTACACACTCTTATGATATATCAAATCTACTACTTATTATTTGTTTTCAGGCCGTGCTTCCAGTTACGTAAAACTGAGTCTGGAGAAGCACTAACGCCCAAAGCAATGAAAGCCGCTATAAGATCTCTAGGGACGGAGTTCCAAGAGATTTTAGAATCGTTTAATGTCCACAACATTACGAATTGCGGTGTATCGAGAACTAAGCACTCTCCAGCGCAGCACGCCTTACTGGTGCTAGCTGGGATACTGCCTGTTGCTGCATTCATTGCTGCAATTGTACTTTGCTGTATGCATTCTAATGGTAAGCATAGTTCTTGTATTTATTTTAGAGCTGACTGTTGAATTTGATTGTTTTTATCGGGTTGTGTGTTTATATATGTCTAAGATCTTTATTTTGTTTATAGGTATAAAAATGTATTTATTTATTTACGTCACACTAAGCGAGCTTTACAGTTCCCAATATGCCCACTTAGGAAGATTGTATACATATAAAACACTAGTTACTATTACATACACTAATTATACAAGAATAATAATAATAATCTTAATATTCCATACTACATAAATAATCTACTACCGTCCTACGAAACTCCAACAAATTATTTATTTATTTGTACATATGTATACATATATATATACATACTAAGTGAGCTTTACAGTCTCCCAATATGTCCACCTAGGAAGATAATATACAAATACACACAATTATAAACACATAAATAAAAAACAATAATAATAATACCTAATCTCCATTTAACATACTACCTAAATAATCTACTGCAATCCTACGTAACTCCAGCAAATTACAAGTAAATATGTCTAGATCTGGAAAGCGACTAACTAAACCATTGAGTAGAATCAATGCTAGAGAAATAGGAGCCTGTTTGGCCAGCTCTGTTCTTCTACATGGAACATCAAACAAGTTTCGTCTTCTTGCTTGTACGTAATTATTGGACGCTCTTATGGATACTGATGTTAATACCGCTTGGTTACATTTTTCACCTCCCATGACTTTGACTACATATTCCATTAATGCAATCTTCCGTCTTACTTCGAGGGTGTCATATCCCACCATCCTCAACAAAAACATAGTAAGATATATATTAGGGTATGAGAATCTATAATCGTATTTCTATCAGTCTAATATCCATAACACTTCTGCTTGAACGTAGATGACGCTGTGTGAATTGTCCAAGGTTATTGTTAGGAAACAGTCAGAAAAACTTTCTCATATTAATATGCATTTCACATATATTATTAGTAATGATGGCCGACCAGCTGCACACCCGATTAAAATATTTCATAGTACATAGTGCACAGCTTTTATATGGCAGGCATTAATACACAATAATGCTATAGCCTAAATCGAATTATATGTTATGATAATTTAACAAAATCTATTATTATATATTATAATAATTATCTATTTTTGTCTATTTTAGCCAAACATAGAGCACGTTCTGCACTCCTGCTCGCCAGGGAACCTACCTTAGCTGCCCCCAGCAACATCTCCGTCCCCACCAGACTATACTCAGAACCACTCTACACAACGTGACGAAACTACAATTAACTATAGTCTAAGTTAATGCCACTTAATTATTCTAATAACATTATAATATGCCTATAAAAAAATAATACATTCAAAATTACAAATTAATAAATTTACATTCAATGAATGAATGAATTGAATTGACAGCCTCGGTGGTCTAGTGGTTTAGCATATCGCTTTACTATCCGATGGTCGCGGGTCGATTCCTCGCACGGTGCAAACATTTGTATTTATGTGTATGATTGTTTGTATCGGCCTGGATGTTTTCTATGTATAATATGTATTTATTAAAAAAAATGCATCCATGTATTTGTATCAGTTGTCTAGTACCCATAACACGCTCTGCTTAGCATGGGACTAGATGGCGTTGTGTGAATTGTCCTGGCATATAAAAAGGTATACATTAGATGCCTTTACTCGTACGCTCTTTCATACTATTTTCATGAAAGAAAGTGTGCATTTAAATGCAGACAAAGAGAACGAGAAAAACCGCGCGCGCAAACATTGAGTGCATTCACGCGTCCTTCAACCGTGCGTGCTTTAGCGTTTATATTTTGTAATAATCAATTATCATTGCAAAATGGCGGATATCTGACTACGTAGCAAAGACATAATTATAGTTATTGATAATTGTCTTTGGATAATAAAATCTGTGGAATAAAAACATAATTTAAAAATAAAAGTGGAATGATATGTAACACGCGCGAAGGATGAACACAATAAAAATGTTAAATACATTTTTTTGCGTATGGGCGATGCACATTCACTACACACAAAATAAAATATGGCTACAAAAAATGTATAAGTAAAAATTTTCTGTACCTAAATTTTTTATATTGTGTTTTGTTAACTGACCAATGTAGTTATTTATTTACTTATTTTCTTTGTATTACTGTTAGAGCAAGAGCCCACGACGGCCAGACGTCTTATTAGTAAACGTGTGTCCCCAACACAGGTAAGAACGATCCCCAAACATGAAACCTGGATTGTGGTTCGTTTGGCAGGTAACAGGTAACAAAGGTGTAAAAAAGTTTCATATCAAATTCGTTATTTTAAGAAACTCCATTATTTCATATATTGTTCTGTTCGTAGCATTATTATAACTTGCGCTGCTCATTGCCAGACACTTACGGCCTTATTACAAAAAGATAAATCTGGTTTAGCACTAGTAATAAACCATTCACCAATGTATTCCTTATTACAAAATGAAGTTTATTTCTAAATCGTGATTCGTCTATGGTCTGTTAGACCTGCGATGCCCCTAGTTTAACAGTGGTCTAAATGCAAAAATACAAACTCCATTTTAAAAATTCTATTGTTAGTTGTAGTTTTTAGAAATATATTTTAACTAAATTAAAAATATATTAACTAAAAATATTTAAAGCAAATTTTACGACAATAAAAACATATAAAAGACGTTAATTGTTATTTTTATTGGATCGTTCGAATGATGACTATCATCATTCGAACGATCCAATAAAAATATCTCGCCGTTCCTTTTCTCCGTATAGGACTCCTACTTGTAATTTAAAACTGATTTTCAGCCTAATAGTACATTAATAAATATTATATATTCATGAAATAGTTATAATGAAGACATAGATAAATAGAAATAAATTTATTTTTAGTTTATACATTTTTCTTTGATCTAATATTATTTTTGATCTTTTCAGTTTTCTGGTAAAATGGAACGTAATTGTACGGTGACAGACATGAGTGACTGATTTCTGTATGGAATACATAATGAACGATTTAACTGTAGTACTAAGTAGTCCTCTGTTAGATCTGGATTCGTAATAATGTTAGGTTTATTCCAAGTATTAACTTTAGGAATGGTTTAAACCACGACCATTTAGACCACGTTTCGTCCGAGTTTTAACAGATTTTTTGTAATAAGACCGTTAGTATCCAACCCCCCGCCCCCGTTTCATGTTTGGGGATCGTTCTTACATGTGTTGGGGATACACATACAAGAACTTTCACATTTACTAATAAGACGTAAGTCTGGCCGTCGTGGGCTCTTGGGCTATGTGCCTTGTGTGTGTTCCCTTTAACGCAAATGCATATTTTGTTCTTGATACAGAGAGGCAAAGGCAATAAAAATGTAATAAATGCGTTTGCGCATGTCTATTTATCATCTATGTGTATTATTCTTAAGAGAAAAATAGCAACTAAACCACGTTCCAATTGAACCTAAAAAGGCAAAGATATGAAAATGTATTCAAAAAAGCAGTACGACTAAAAAATCACTAATATTTATATATTTTTATATATTGATAATTATTATAATAATTTTTTTGTTTACATTTGTATGTTCTACTAGCTTTTGTCGTCGCGTTAATTTATCCCTTTAGGGGTGGAATTTATCAAAATCCTTTCTTAGGGGAGGCCGTCATAGTAGATTTAGGCATGCAAAGTCTCAGCCCGATCGGTTTAAAATTGACAAAGTTTCATACAAACTTTCATCCCCCATTTTTTCCCCTTGGGGGTAGAATTAATCAAAATACTTTCGGATTCCTTAGCGGATGCCTACGTCATAAGATCTACCTGCATGCCAAATTTTTGCCCGATCCGTCCAGTGGTTTGGGCTGTGCGTTGATAGATCACTATGTCAGTCACCTTTGAGTTATATACATATAGATAGATTGGAACGAGGAATACCTTATCAGAGATTAATTGCTATAGGTACATATATATAATAATAGATAATTGTAGGATTTGATTAATAATCAATTGTCTCAAATAAACATAATCTTCATAAGAGTACATACATCACACAAACAAAATGTTTAAAAGTGATCAGTCTTTTGTATTATAATATCATTAACATGTAAGTAAAACAAATGAAAGATTTGAAATGAATTTGAATCTTAAATATATGTACAATATAATTTATTTTCGTTATATAAAAATCTTTCGATAATTTTATTGTAATTATAATATTCTAATACTTACATTACCTATTGATAAGTATTATTAATTGCTTATATAGATAAGTCTATATATATATATATTTGTGGTTTTAGGTTTTGTACTCATAACAGGCAACTCGAATCAATACTCCAATAGACTATTGCTATTGAGTATAAACAACACAAGCAACATGACTAGGGCCCTCATTGGACAATATAAATTTAATAAACACAAGGCAAAATTAGGTCTGTGTGCAACAATAATTTGCAGATTTTGCCAAGATGAAGAAAAAACGCCACTACAGATCCTATGTAGCTCACTCATGCATAAACATGTGGTTATAGCCCACTCAGGCATAAACGAAATATCTCCTTCGGAAAGTTTATACTCTATCCTGAGGAGATAAAAACCATCGCTGCTAAAAATATCCTACAATTCTTGTCCCTAGGTAGCGAACTTTAAGATGGGCGAGCAAAATAGAATATAATAGAATAGAAAATCATTTATTCAAATAACCTTACATTGAAGCACTTTTGAATAGTCATTACATTTTTTTAATCTACCGCTCAGTCGGAAAGATGTGATGATGAGACAGTCATCACAAGAAGAACGAGCAAGAAACTTGCGTGTTGCATATAGATCTATGTAGGTCTTAGCACTTTACAATAACCCAAAACCCTCAATAAAAATAAAAATAACTATATTATTTGTACAAATGTATTGCGTGTCATTATAAAGTAAGTGTGATATTAAAAATAAATTTATTTATTCTAAGTCACAATGAGCAATGAATTAAAATAAATGTAAATGTAGATTAAATTAACGAAATATGTTAATTAACAATTCATTGTCTTTAAATTTTAAATGAATAAATAATTTATAATGTTTCTTAATGTTTTGTTTCAATTTACATTAATTCATCATTTCCTTGCCTTTATCCCATTATTTGTGGTCGGCGCAGTATGTCATTCTCTTCCACTGCTCTCTATCGGTCGTCATATCTTAACATACTCTTCTTTTATTCACATCATCTTTCACACAATCCATCCATCTTTTCTTAGGGCGTCCCCTCCCTTTACATCCATATACATTCATTTTATTTACATTAATTATATTCCGAAAATGAGATGAAATGTTTATTTCATGAGGTGAATGAAACCATGGTATAACTAAGTTAAAATTTTGTACCATTAGACAAATATTAACTACACATAAAAATATCTCTTAATTTATAACAGTTAATTACATACCTCACATACTGTAATAAATATAGGTTTTACTACAATAATATAAGGTAAAGATTATTTTATTAATTGAATGAAAGTTTTAATACTTTTTTATAATTCAAAACAAATATGTAGGTACATCTCAACAAAGACCATGTACCTCTATAAATGATTCATATAGATTGATAACATACCCTTTGTTCATTAATAGAAATAGAAATAGAAATAATCTTTATTCAAATAAACTCATTACAAGCACTTTTGAATAGTCATATTTTGATTCTACCACTCATTCGGAATGCAGATTCATCACAAGAAGAACGAGCAAGAAACTTGTGTGTTGCTCTTTTTAATAGATGTTTTTTTATCAACATAGAAATCGCTACGCACTCATTATTAGTGTAATCAGATAATATTGTCAGTGCTATGTATTTAAAATTTATCTACAAAAACATTATTATCGTTAACGAATTCTTCAATTTTATAGTAAGCTTTTTTGCAAAGGAAGTGTTTTATTTGACATTTAAATCTTTTTTCTGGCAGATTTATAACAGACTCTGGTATTTTATTGTAAAACCTTACGCAATTGCCATAAAACGAATTACTAACTTTAGCCAAACGACATTTAGGTAAAATCAATAAAAAAATAATGTAAAACTAGTATATGACCGTGCTTTGTCTGTAAAATGTTTAAAAACAATAACGACAAATTCTATTTTTCAGCATGTTTTATGTAAATTTTAAACTAATGATATTTTGAAATTTAGTTTTATCAAAATTTCGATGATTCTTTTTTATAATCAATACGATGTAATCACTGTCAATGTCGTAATTTTTTCCAAAATATTGGGCTTATTTTGGAAAAATTACGACAAACTAGAGAGGGGCAAACACGATAAAGCAATTGCTAACAGCTGTACAAGACATAAAAACCTCTTCCATATTTCGAATGCATAGCATTAATTTGTTTTATGAATCATAATATATCGAAAAATAGCATTTTTCAAAATTAGAAGCTAAAATTGCCTCCTTTTATATAAGTCAATTAAATTAACCACGCCGTCTTAATCATTATCTAAATACTTTTAAAAAGATATAATACTTCTGTGTAAATAACTTTATAGGAATAAATAATTTAAATAAATAAAATAAAAAAACTATAAATGCTCTTCTTGTAAAAAAAGTACATTTTTATTACTGCCATTTTTCTATTAATCTACGATATTACTATACATGTGCGTTATGATGCTACACACGATGCTGATTTCGGCTAATAGAGAGGGCGTAATAGAGCCGAGTGTGTTAAATACGCATGTATATAGTACGAGGATTTTCACCACACTCGACTTTAAACAAAGTCAAAAATAAAACTAATGCACACTGTTGATTTCCCGCCTTAATTATTTTAAATCGCCGCGCTGCTTACTGGCCGGCGCCGCGCACGATCTGTTCGAAATTTAAAAAAAATAGCAAAATTTCCGGTTATGGAATATAACTTCACTATTTACATTTATAACGCACGCTTGTTTTATCAGTTACATTATATATCAAAAACCGGAAAATTAGATCTACTTTACGTATAAGCGTGTAGAAAATTACAGAGATTGAAAATACCACCATTTTTTATTTATCTCCATAATTTAAAACAACAGTAAGTATTGTTCAAACAATTTATCCATCAGAACGAAACTACTGTCGCATACTAATATTACTTCATCGAGAATACAAACACATACACGCAGATAGAAGTACATACAGACCTTTTACATTAATTTTATATACGAAGTCTGACAACTACATACATTTAGATATCAAAAATATTACCATAACTAACGAGACGCTTATTGATACAGTAAATTGCAGTGATATTTACTGTACAGTCCACACAATGGAACTATTAATAGCGTTTATTTGCATATTCTTATACGCCATACATTGTTTTACAAGAAATCCTTATTGCAAATCACAAAAAATGCTAAATGGAAGAACTACAATAATCATTGGCGGAACAAGTGATATGGAACTGGAAATAGCAAAAGATTTTACTAGAAGAGGAGCTAGAGTGATAGTCGCCTGTCCATTCGAAGAAGAAGGAAAAAATGCTTTGAAAATTATAAAAGAGCATAACACAGATGCTAATATAATTTTTAAGACACTGGATTTAGCTTAGTTGCAGTACGTGAATTTGCTGCAGATATTGAAATGAAGACTGAACGCATGTTGGATATATTAATAAATAACGCAGGAATAGGAATTCAGTTCCTGAAGACAAACTGACTAATGACAATTTTAATATACTATGCAAGTGAATTACTACAGTCATTTTTTACTAACAATACTACTAATACCACTATTGAAATAGACTGCTAAAGATTCGGAACCGAGTAGAGTTGTTAATATTACATCGAATGTAATCAAAGTACCTAAAGTTGAAGTGGAACACTTTAATTAAGTAGGTTATTTTATCATCTAGAGAATTGACAAGGAGAATTAGTGAGTCAAATGTTGTTATAAACAATTTAGACCCATGCTCAGTGGGCACAAGAATTTTCGACTCAAGTTTTAATGTGGTTATAGCTAGTTTGATTTATTACTTGTTCTATTTGTTCTCCAAAACACCATGGGAGGGTGCTCAAACTACGATGCATGTGGCGCTAGATAAAGATGCTGGTAAAGTGAGCGGAGAATTTTTTAAGAATTGTAAACTTTGTAAAACAATTGCAAGAGCATATGACAATGATCTTGCTAAACAGGTTTGGGATTCATCTGTAAAATTGGTCAAATTAACTGATGAAGAATGAAAGGTTATTGTTTAACAGTTAAAAATGCAATAATGTGTCTTGAAGATGAAGAAAGAAGAAGCTTATTCAAAATTTTGGAATAACTATGTTGAAGGTTTACATAAACTGATCCAAACCACTCTGTAGTGTTAGAAATAAACCAAAATTTCTGGTTCTTACAAAATAATAAGACTGGTAATATATTTTATGTATTGTTTTAGTTCTTGCATTCTTTAAGCCTATAATAGTAGATATGAATGTTTTTAAAGCAGTGCTATCAACAAATCACAAAATCTAATTAAGTCAAAGATGAATGATGATGATGATCATATTAATAATTTATGGTGATTGACGTAATTAGATATTCATGGTATGATTATGAGTATTAATCGTAAACAAGTTAATTAATAGTAATTAATTGTTATTGCAATACAGATATTACTGTTTCATTTGAACTCGATTGATAAGAAATTGGTACTCCAATCGAGTTTTCTATTATGCTCCAGAAGGGGTTACCTCAAGATTGCCTTAAAAGGATTGTTACCAAACTCATTAAAACTATGCACCAATACATAAAGTTGAGGCCTTAATAGAGTCTTGGATATCTCACAATGGATCACATTCATTTATTTTTTACTGTTATGCATATAAAATTAATATTACTATTTCATAACTCTATCATCTGATATATCTGGTAGCTTTAGATCCAAACATCAGATAACAAATTCAACTGATTTGTGATATGTTAATATAAAATTTACTGAATTGCTTGAATGTATTGAATATGTTTAATATAAGAATATTTATAGTAGGGAAATAGACTTCAAACAACAAATATTTTCATCTTTTATTATAAATACGGTCTTTATTTATACAAATTTGCTTTTTAATTTTTCCACAATAAGTTAAACAACAATGTTTGGTTTATTCTATCCATCGAAGAATAAGTTATAAAAACCTAATATGACCATTTAAAGAGATTCTGTTTTACACTTGTTTTCCTTTAATATTACATTTACAATTTGTTAAATATAATAGGTATTATTTGGCAATACACGGTAGCCCAGCTTCGCAATACAGCTCATCCCAAAACTGTATTCTGTCTCGCTCCGCAGCGTGACCCACAGACAGTGGCTCCTCAAGCTTCATGTACTGTCTTCCAGTACGGGTGTATGGCTCCCACTTCACGCCATCAATGTTTTGTGGTGTTGGATTACTAGAAATAAAAAATACATGAATGTAACTTGTGCAAAATTATTAAAGATTTTTTTTGTAAACAGTCAAATAGGAAGAATTAGATTTCAATTCATTACAGATATATTCCTTGTATAGTTTAGAAAAACTTTTCTATCCCAAATATTATTGACTCATTTTACACCAAAATAATGAAGAGACTACAGTATAAGATTTTTCAAAAAGGACGTTTCTTTTTAAATCGACAATGCATTTGCAATGCAAATATTAGCTTTTGAAGTGTCAATATTTAGCCTTATCAAATGTTAAAAGGCTTCAGAAGTATTTGCTATAATTGCAGAATAAGAAATGTGTTAACTGATGAGATATAGATGGATAAATGTTTTACTTTATTTACATCAGTAGATTTGACACATTTTACGACACATTAAAATAAAAATATAAAGGAAGTAAATTCAATATATATAAAATTACATATATGACCTTCCTTTCCTCTTTCTTTATATGTGTACCACATAGACGCAAAAAGGTTGCAAGTCAATGCATTGTTTGCTCTGGGAGTCAGTCAGTTACTACCTACCTAAACTACATACAAAGGCGCTCGTAACTTCGTTAACTATCCCGGACTAAAATTTCAGTTCGTTTTAAATATATTTGTGTATGTTTAAGCCATTTATACATACCCAGTTCTAGCGAAATCCGTCCAAAGCTTAGTCACCTTATAAACTATTTGTCTTGCTCGTTCTTGCTTTTCATAAACATTTTTCGTTCCACCGTTATAAAACAAATAAAATAGATCGTCAGCGTGAGCCGCTCCTTTCATTTGAGTTAAACCTAAAGATATCTTCACAAAGTTCATGTCTGTCACGTAATTAAATACGTATTGGTAAATAGGCTGATTTGATGCAGTATATAAATGTATAAATCTATGTACACTGTATGCAAAGTTTAAATCTGTATGTAAATTAACAATAGCTTCAGCTGTATCATTAGAAAAGTCATTATTTCCTACATAAAAATTCTTTATTCGAACACCAAATTCCTTTGTATAAGTATCTTGGGATACTTTTTGAGAAATTTCTCTTGGCACTAAATATTCAGGATTCTTGTTTCGGATTTCTACTTTCTTTAAATGGTCAGCCAACATAAATAATCCTTCTGCTGAGTTATACCCAATTAATAATGGCACTTTATTAGTTTTGCCGGTCAGAAGTATATCAAGTGGTTTCTCATTTAGAAAAGATTCCACTTTTCCGAATCTCTTTTCCACTACCGGTATAAAATGTACAGGCAAACCTCTAAGTTTTTCTTCGTCAGTTTCAGTTTTAAAGGTTAGTCCAGCAAGATCTATTGCTGGGACACTTTGAAGAAATTCTAATAATTCATACACATTATCAGTGTCTTTGCCTAATACTTTACCAGCTCTAAACGCTCTGGCAACGTGATCTTTACCAACGGCCCAATCATCTATGCTTGTACCACTTTGGGCTATAACTTTGTGAAATAAACCTTTCGACATCTGCGACATCATATGGCATGCAACTGCCCCAGAGCCAGAGCTTTCACCGAAAATACTAACGTTATCTGGATCGCCACCAAATTCAGCTATATTCTCTCTCACCCATTTTAACGCAGCAACTTGATCTTTCATACCTGCATTACCAGGTACTTCGGGAATATCTAGGCTCAAGAAGCCTAGCACTTCGAGCCTATAGTTTATGGTCACTAAAACTACATCATGCTGCAAGAGGTAATCTGGACCGAATACATCAGAATTCCCAGATCCAGATGTGAAAGCTCCGCCGTGAATGAATACCATTACAGGTGACTTCTTAGGGGATCTAAGGCATTTTGTGTATACATTTAGGAATAAACAACTTTCATTTCCTTCTATCAATTTTTGCGAGGTGATGTCGAATTGTGGGCAAACTGGGCCATGTTCTTTTGCTTCATAAACACCTTTCCAAGATAACGGTGGCAATGGTGCCTGAAAAGATAAATAAGTAATTCTTACTTCTTTCATATATCTTAAAAAGATACATATAAGATACTATATAGTGATAGTTTGTTTAATAAAAGTAAAATTAACTTATAGTAAAAATGAAACAACTATACGTTTCTTACTTTACAATAATTTTGGAAAAGGATTTTAGAGTTTAAGAGAGAGATATAAAGTTAATACAGGATATGATACTAGTAATTATTTTTATATATGAAATGGCTGTGCCCGCGGTTCACCCGCATGTCATTTGTTCTGATGATGTATAAGCTATATTACTGTAAAGTTTCAACAAAATCCGTTCAGTTTTTTGCGTGAAAGATTAACAAACATCCATCCATACTCACAAACTTTCGCATTTATAATATTAATAAGATGTTACCTTAAATCTCAATTTTCCGATCGGAGGCTGCGCGTACGGTATTCCCTTGAAACTGTAACACGTTGACCCATCCAAGAGTGTATAGATTGATCCTTTTAAAGATCCTTGTCTTACTTGTACTAGGGGATTTTGATCGTTAACATTCTGAAAATTAATTAATTTTGAATTAACCTAATTTTAATACAGAAATTGACGATCTTGGTGGTTTAGCGGTTTAGCACACCGCTTTGCTTCCGATGGTCGCGGATTCGAATCCTCGCACGGAGAGGATGATAAGGTGAGCATGAGGTCAGGTCAGTTAGCCCATCATGACAAATTCATCAAAGATTTATTCGATGGTTTCCAGGGGGAACCGCATGGACGTCAACCTGACATAGTAGATTGCTAGTAATAAGATCAATAGTACACATCACACTAACAATCCCCTTTCTCTCCCGATACACACATTTGTATTCATGAGTATGGTCTGTATTGAGTGTTTCCGCTGGCGGTGCACCAGTAAAGGATGATAAGTGAAGTGAAGCATGAGGTCCACGTTTTTTTTTATTTTTTTATAATATGGCCTTAAAAATACATACTTAAAATATTTATATTTTTGTAGTAATATATAAAAAGATGCATTTTGCACACGTACCTTACGACTACAGTCTACATTAGCAGCGATTATACAAAACAGCAAAAGGCCAAACACCCTCTGTCCAGAATAAACAAATTATCAAATTAGACTACTGTATATGATGGCAAATAAGCACACAAGTCATTTGATGGTAATGTGTTACCATAGTCTATGGACGCCTGAGTCACCAGGTGTGCGAGTTGCCGACTCTTAAGAAACCTTAATATACCCTTCTTGAAAAACCCCTTGCTGTAGTCTAGTGAGAAAATCTAGGCAGGAAGTTAATTCCCCAATTTAAGTGTACGTGGGAGGAAGCTCTTCCGAAACCGCACTGTCCGAGACCACTTAGGTTCGATCATGTGTGAATGAATTGTTAGATTATATTCAGACTTACATATAAGTATTAATAGATTTAACCAGTATCTTTACAAGGCCTACCTTTATCTAGGGCGGCCGCGGTGGTTCAGCGGTTTGGAACATCTATGGTCGCGGGTTCGATTCATCGCACGGTACAATATTTGTATTCGTTAGTATGATTGTTTGTATTGTAAGGGTGTTTTCTATTATGTCTGTTAAATATTTACATAATATATTAGTTCAATTCATCGCACGCTTCAACATTTGTATTCATGAGTATGATTGTTTGTTTAACAGGCTGTTTTATATGTGTATTATGTATATATTTACAAAAAAAAATAATTATTCATGTCCATTGCACCTTGTGTACCATTATTTGTGCAATGAAGTTTTATTAAGATAAATCAATAAATATGTAGGTCACTTACCATTGTGTTAACACTGGACCACAAAACTGCGTTGCACTTAATTCACAGTCGTAGATATACTAACACAAGATTTATTATTCATAGTACACTTTTACATAAATGTAGTAAGCAGGAAATTCCGTTTTATTTTCCTTAAGTTCTTGAAATCTCTGAATGACAACACGAGAGACTCAGCTATGACTATTTGTATGACGTTGATTATCTATATATTAATACGTGCAGCTAAAAAGTTGCACGGACGGAGGTTTATCAAAATTTCGCACCCTTATACTTTGTATAGAGAAGGAGTGCAAAAATATCTCAAATCAATAAAAAAAAATTACACACACACACTGCCATACATTTGACGCAATACGCATATATGCTCTTTTGTTTATTGTTAAAATATGTGGTCAAATTGAGAATAGATTAATGTTATTTGTAGTTAATATTATTTCTCTATACCCTTACTGAAAGTTAAATTATAGTTTGCTTAAATAAAAAAATTAAATGTAATTTATTCAGTAAACACTACAAATACAAAAGCAATATTTATATTATAAATAGATGAAACAAATGTTACCGATCGATCCCCAGTCCAATTCAAACGGGGATCAAAATTACGATGGCCTGAGTCGAGGTTCGACTCAGAGGTGCCCTCAGACTTGCGTCGTATCCTTCAGCCGTTCCATAAGTACTGTCGCGGATTTGGAGTGCCTTCTGCACTCGCCCCTATCGTCCAGTGAAGCTGTAAAGGCCAGTTGCGCCCAACAGCATTACAGTAGTCCGAAAATATACATTTTCTACGAAAATTACACAGTAGAGTATGAAAGAATTGAAGTCTAAACATACATATATGTACATGCGAGATTTCAATAAAGAACAAACGCTCGTAATAAAATTATGTACGTTAGTATTCATCACAAAGTGAGTGCAAACAACACACTCAGTATAATTTCTTCAATTTTAGGTAGTGCATTGTTTTTATTCCATGACTTGGTAAAGTCAGAGGCTATCTTGAAACGTGTTTCTTATCATCTTTTGTTATTACTATGTGTTGCCGGCCGAGCGCTGCTAACTTGTTTATGTTTATTTTGCAAAAAATGTATAATTTAAACATTTGAAACACGGTGTGTTTTTGTTTGATATTATTTTACTTTAGTCTGCAGTTTTCTTTATTTTTTTTTATTTGTTTGGTTTTACATATGATCTCTACATTACTACATTTGATCTTTTTCAATACAGCAGTTGCGATAGTAATGTGGACTGTTCACCCCATTGCTAGCAATGTACCATGTCAGGTTGACGTCGACTCGGTTCCCCTGGAAACCATCATGACAAATTAAAGGAGAATTTGTCATAATGAATTAACTGACCTGACTCCATGCTCATGTTATCATCCTCCGCTGGTGTGCCGCCAGTGTAAATCGCTAGCTGTGCACTAACAATTTACACTGGCTGTTAACCTGTTACCTGTAAACCTGTCCATCTATTAACCTGTTTTTTTTATATGAATGGTAAATACCTTAAATAAATGGTAAATGCCCTTACCATTTATTTAAGGCATTTACCATTCATATAAAAAAACAGGTTAATAGATGGAATAATGGTAAGGAATGAGTTAAATTTGAAATTACTCGGAATTTGTGACCATGAGTTTAATGTAATTTTGGTAAATAAAAGACGCAAGAGTTTTTTAAATCACAGTACATGAAAGATTTAAGAAAATAAATTATTGTTGTGCACCATTATCTACAATACAAATAAAACCCAAAACAATGTTTGTTAGAGTCTTGTTTGTTTTCTATGCATTTCTGAGTTAATTTCTTAAAGGACATAACTGAATTCAATGTCATTTTCACAAATATATTGTACCTAGTCAATTTCGTTTAAAATTTAGTGTTTGATTTACTCGAATCCCCAAGTATCGTTTAGAAAAAGTCAATAGGTCTTTTATGGGAATAGGTAAATTTTACAGTAAGATACCGAAGGATATATTGGAATTACCCTTAATTCAAAACATCTGTTAAATCATATTTACTGAGCAATACGAGTGTGCATGGCAATAGTTTTCATGATCGGGATTTTCATTTAATGTTAGACATAGACACCTATATAAATACCTATGCATTGTAAATAAACTGGCTTTAAAAAAAAAGTAATTCAATTGAGTTTCTTGCCAGTTCTTCTCAATTGGATCTATATACCGAACTGAACGGTAGGGAAAAAAAATATAATGTAAAAACTTAACGTTCATAAGCGGCTAAAATGTCCTACATGAATAAATGATTTTTGAATTTGAATATGAATTAGTTTGGTAATAAAAAAGTTATCCAGCTATGAAGTCGCGGGTTCAGTTCTGTATAAAATTGAAGAATCACTAGACAGATACAGCTAGCAACTATGACGTAAACACGCGGCTTTGCCTACGTCAATGTCGATATAAATATCCTACTTTTAATCCAGGATATCTTTTAACGGTGTGCCATTTTTTATTCCATTAAGCCGCTTAATTACATTATCAAATACACGATTACTATTATTACACGATCAAGGCCATACGATTTTTTTAATTTATGAATCTATGTATGCATTTTGATATGATTATCAAGCTTCACCGTATCTTGTATAGCTTAGCACCATATATATGATGGTTACATCATTTTTTGTTGCTTACACAGTAATTTTTTTTATCCTGTACAATCTTCAATGCCTCCTTACGATTTCCAATTCAAATTACAAGGGACCAAAATTACGACGGTCTGAATAGGTGTTCGAACCCCTAGCCGTCATTAATTTACCAGTTGAATTCTTCCAACTCAAGTTGGCAGGATTCAACTCGAGTTAACCTCGAATTATGCGCAACTCGAGTTGACACATCTCTAGTTTAGTACATTTAGTATCTTTACGTTCCGACTAGTAATGCGTAATGTGTTGTGATTGCATCTGTTGTGTCTCATCCGAAACAATCCCGGTTGAGTCAGATCGATCCCCCGTCCAATTCAAACGGGGATCGATATTACGACGGTCTGAGCCGAGGTTCGAACCCCTAGTGGTGCCCTCAGCGTAAAGTCGTATCCTCCAGGTAAGAGTTGGCCTTCAACCACTCTAGAAGTCCTACCGCAGATTTGGGTGCCATCTACACTCGCCCCCTATCGTTTGGTGAAGCTGTAAGGACCAACTGCGGTCGACAGCATTTGAATAGTGGTTTTTAGTAGGAAAAAAAGCCTTTTTTTCCTTTATTTGTGGTTGGCGCAATATATCATCTTCCAATGATCCCTTCAGGCATATCCGAGCTTACTCTCCTTTTATACATATCATCTTCCACACAATCCACCCATAACATACATTAAAAAGCTCTTCCTTTTTTGAAGTCGGTTTAAAAAGAACTGTACTAAGTCTACACCGCTGTCAAATTATTTTGACAGCGGTGTAGACTTAGTACAGTTAATTAAATATTATTATTTGTATCATTTTTAGTGTGTATTATACTTAAATTGGATAAGGATATATATCCTTATCCAATTTAAGTGATGTATTGGATTGACTATTGACCTAATATTGTAAAAATTTAAGACTTTTAAATATATATATTGCTTATATCTGTACAAAGTCCCCGCTGTCAAATTAATATTTGTAATATGCATTATATATATAGCATTATCCAATTTAAGTGATGTATTGGATTGACTATTGACCTAATATTGTAAAAATTTAAGACTTTTAAACTGCCTGTATTTTTGCACAATCACGCTTAAGGAGTATTATATTATCAAATGCTTTATTAAAATATTGGCTCATAATATATTATTACTCTTTATTACACTTGTAACTTAAATAATATTTTACTAATATTATAAACGCGAAATATTGTCATATGTTGTTGTATGGATGGGTAGATGTATGGATTTATGCTTGTTAATCTTTCACGCAAAAACTACTCAACGGATTTTGATGATACTTTAGACAGACTACAAATTTCATGCGGATAAAACATATATATCTATGTTCCCGCGGATTCGTCCGCGTGGAATTTAACTTAATTTTTCTAAAATTAAAGGAGCCTAAATTACTCCTTAATACATCAGCTACCTGCAAAAAAAGTCCCGTCAAAATCGGTCCAGCCATTTCTGAGATTAGGCGGAACCTAATTGAAAAAATGTTATTTTGCTGTATGTACCGTATTTATATTCGTAGGCATGTAAAAAACGGTTATTTCAATATTACAAACAGACACTCCAATTTTATTTATATGTATAGATATAATCGATCATGCGATTACAGGAAAATTATTTTAGAAGGTAACGGGTTCAAACTACACGCAATAAAAATATGTAGAGACACGAGTAAATGTTTCTTTTACACGTGGATTTAAAAAACGTAAACCAATATGCTTATCAGTCTAATAGATTCTTATAGTAAAAGCGATGCTTAGAATAGAAATAAATAGCTTAATACTAATTCAAGTTCATTTAAGTCATAGATAATGATTTAATATTAGATAACAATGTTTATCAAATTATATTACTGTATAATAACATATAGGTACACATATGTATATGTACGTAGGTTTTTTTTTTTTTATAACACAGGGGACAAACGAGCATGCGGCTCACCTGATGGTAAGTGATTACCACCGCCCATGAGCACCCGCAACACCAGGGGAATTGCAAGTACGTTGTCGGCCTTTTAAAAAGTAATAAGCTCTTTTCTTGAAGGTTTCAATATCGTATCGGTTCGGAAATACCATTGCTGGAAGGTGATTCCATAATGTGGTTGTGCGAGGCAAAAAGTTTCTAGAAAACCGTACTGTGGAAGACCGCCATTCATCCAGATGATCAGGATGGTATTTTAGTTTCTGGCGGGTGGTACGGTGTTGAAACTCAGCAGCTGGTATTAATCCGAACAATTCCTCAGAACACTCCCCGTGATATATGCGGTAGAAAATGCACAGAGATGCAATATCTCGCCGCAAAGCCATTGGGTCGAGTCTGTCACATAGACGTTGATTACCAAATTCTATGTGACAGACTCGACCCATTGGCTTTGCGGCGAGGTAATTTGTAAACTATATAATGTATTTTTTTCTTATGGCAAGGTGCACCCGCCTGCGCTAACGGTTTACGCTGGCGGGGCATCAGTGGGGGATGATAAGATGAGCACGAGATCAGGTTAGCCCATCATGGTAAATTCACTATGACTTTATCACGATGGTTTCCAGGGGGAACCGCGTGGAGGTCAACCTGACATGGTACATAGCCAGCATACTTATATTTTGAATTGACTCTCCGGTGATGGAAACACTAATAATAAACATAATTAATCTTTAATAAAGTCATAATCATTAGGCTAGAATGGTTTCAATGGCAGAAGGTATAATAAAAACAAATGTACAGAACTGTATTATAATAAAATCTATTTTTTATAAGTAGTCTATTATGTACACGAACGTTTTTTTTCTATTTCGCTATACAAGGTGCTCCCGATTCGCAGTACAGAGTGTCCCAGAATTTTATTCTGTCTTGATCAACGCCGTGTCCTACTGACAATGGATCCTCAAGGTTCAAATACTGCTGACCAGCACGACTGAATGGCTCCCATTTCACACCAAGACTATTGTTGGGCGTTGGATTACTAGAAATAGAAATATTACATACATACATCTTAAGTAACACTTCAAATTGACGACAATGAAGGCCTCGGTGGTCAAGCGGTTTGGCACACCGCTTTGCTTCCGATAGTCGCGGGTTCGATTCCTCGCAAACATTTGTATTTATGAATGTGATTGTTTGTATCAGTTTGGGTGTTTTTATATATATTAAATATGTATTTACAAAAAAAAAATATAAGTATTTATGTCAGTTGTCTAGTACCCATAATACAAGCTCTGCTTATAGTGGGACTTGATGGCTCTGTGTTAACTTCAAGGGTTTTTATTATTATTAGTATTATAGGTACTAGACAACTGATAGAAATGCATAAGTCAATTTTTCTTCTGTAAATACCAATAAAAACAATACTCATGAATACAAATGAATGAAGGAATTGAACCCACGACCATTAGAAGTAAGGCGGTGTGCGGTGTACTAAACCGCTAGAGCAACGCCAAGGCCGCACAGTAATGAACAATAAAACGAATGTAAAACAATCTCGGTAGCTATATGTAAACAAATTATAACCACGTCTATCTGATACACTCAGACTTGACAAGAACAATGAATGAATGATTCATTCATTGTTCTTGTTAAACAGGAGAAACCCAATGCATTAAAGGAAAACTATCATTTTCCTCAACAGTGACTTCAACGTTTTCATATTAATAAACTCGACTCCTTGACCGTGCTTGATGTTTAAGTTTAATGTTTCTAAAATCGTTAACAACTCAGTGATAAAAAAATCCAACACGATTTAGATATTGTTATACTGCGATAATACTAATCAAATAACATTCATTGCCTATAGATTAGTTTAATATTGGATTTACCGACACGTGCAATATGGGTAACAAATTGTAATATTAATAAACATGCGCCATTATTAAAGTTGAATGAATACGGTCAAACTACGCAGAATTATCTTATTTCTAACTGATTAGATAGCATTTGTAATTTAGAAGTTAGTTAGATTTTAAAGAAAGTATAAGTATAAAAATGTGTATACTACATTGATCCGGACATGCAAAGAAAAAAGATTAAAGAAAAATATATATATAATACAAAAGAAGACTGATCAAAGAAGACAACAGTCACAATCATGTAGAACCTTACTAATAGAAGTATTATAAACGCGGAAGTGTGTGAGTATGAATGGATAGATGGATGGTTGGATGTTTGTAGCTCACTCACGCAAAAACGACTAAATAGATTTCAATAAAACTTTACAATAATATAACTTATACATTAGAATAGAAAACATAGGCTATACATTTCATGCGGGTAAAAACCCGGGCACACATAGTAAAAAAAATAAAGAAAGAGATACATATAATATGAAAGGAGACAAAGAAGTCAAGCGTCGTTGTGATCGATTTGTAATGTATAAGACAACTAAGTAATTGTAGAGTTGTATATGGATGGACAATAATAATAGGTTTTGGCAGCCTACTCTGTTATGGAGCTAATTTTATATAATTACATAGATAGGATAATTGCTATAAATCAATAAAAGAAATTTAGAAGGCTATCATCTAAAATTTGACTAATGAACCAGTCGGATACGTCTTAGCAAATTACAAAGAAAGTATTAGAAGCCTATCTGGTTCAAAACATTTCATAGCAAATAATAATAACTTGCCATTAACAAGTCTTAGATATGAGTCAAGGTTTTACACAATAGTCATCTTTAACAATATAAAGATATGCTCATAAAGTTAGATATTTATGGTCATAAAATAATAAAATATTTTGCATGACAACAAATATCGATAAGACAAACGTTGCGTTCCAGTCATAACATTGATAATAATGCATGCACAAAACAAGATTGTGCAATCGACCGCAATTAAAAGACTAATATATATCTTCTCGCCACGCCCTTAACAGATAGGAGTAAAATTATGTTGCAATATTTCCTATATCCTGCAGTCGTCTATTATGATGCTCTTACAAAAACAAGTAGAGAACAGGAAGAACGAGAAGAGAAACATAATTATACAGTTATGTATATCATGCAATAGAAGAGCTAATTTCTGAGACTAATTTCTCCTCTATCAGGAAGTCTCAATCCATAGTATATTTATAGATTAATCTAATTATCATCTACGTAGAATCATTTGCACTGAATACTTTTATCTAATCCCTAAACCACCATACAGTATTTTGGATAAATAATAAACATAGATACGTACCCGGTTTTAGCAAAATCAGTCCACAGTTTCGTTACTTTGTATACTATTTGCCTAACTTTCTCTTGTTTTTCATAAACATCTTTAGTCTCAGCATTGTTGAATAAATAAAATAAGTCATCTGCGTGGGACACTCCTTTCATATGCGCCAAACCCAACGATATTTTTATATAGTTCATATCAGTTACATAATTAAACCTATACTGGTAAATAGGCTGATTTGAAGCACTATACAAATTGACGAATCTATTAGTGTTGTAGGCAAAGTTTAAATCAGTCTGTAAATTTACAATTGCCTCGGCTGTATCATTGGAAAATTCTTTGTTTCCTACATAAAACTTCTTTATGCGCTCTCCAAATTCTTTTGTCTTAGTCTCTGATATTCTTTGTGCTAGTTCTCGAGGAACTAAATATTGAGGGTTTTTATTTCTAAAGTCTGCTTTCGTTAAGTGATCGGATAACATTAGTAGACCTTCAGCTGAATTATATCCAATCAATATTGGAACTTTGTTTGTTTTACCCGCGAGCAAAGTATCTAGTGGTTCTTCGCATAAAAATGATTCTACATTATTGAATTTCTTTTCTATGACTGGTGCAAAGTGTATGGGAAGGCCTCTGTTTTTTTCATCATCTGTATCTGTTTTAAATGTTAATCCAGCAAGATCCAGAGCTGGCACACTTTGAAGGAACTCCAATAGTTCATAAACATCTTTAGCGTCTTTTCCAAGCACCTTTGCTGCTCTGAAAGCCCTCGCAACTGGATTTCTACCAACACCCCAGTCATCTATAGATGTTCCACTTTGTTGTATTGCTCTCTTAAATAAACCTTTAGACATTGGTGATAATACATGATGACTAACAGCGGCTGAACCAGCACTTTCACCAAAAATACTCACATTATTTGCATCACCACCAAATTGTGCTATATTATTTTTTACCCATTTTAACGCAGCAACTTGATCTTTCATGCCTGCATTTCCAGGTACTTCTGGAATATCTAAACTCAAAAATCCTAGCACTTCTAGTCTATAATTCATTGTGACCAGAATAACGTCATGCTGTAATAAATAGTCTGGACCTAGAAATTCTGAGTTACCTGATCCAGACGTGAAAGCTCCACCATGAATGTATACCATTACTGGTAATTTAGCTGATGACTTTAAGGATTTTGTAAAAACATTTAAGAATAAACAACTTTCATTTCCTGCAATTAATTCTTCTGTGGTTATGTCTATTTGTGGACATACCGCCCCATGATTTAATGCTTCGTATACACCTACCCAAGGTTCTGGGGGCAATGGTGCCTGCAATATAATATACAATTATATATTTTATTTTACTAACTTATTCGACCCTAACAACTGATATAATTCTAAGGTTGTTTTGAGAAAATTACTTTCAGGAAAATACCTTACCGTACCTTATAAAAAATACGTTATTTAGTTATTGTATACCTTAAATCGTAGTTTTCCGATTGGAGGCTTTGCATAAGGTATGCCTTTAAAGCTATAAGCCGTGGATCCATCTATAAGAGTGTGCACTGAACCCTTTATTCGCCCTTCCCGGACTGTTACTATTGGATTTTGACAGCCCTGAAATAGAAATCAATACATTAACGTCAAGAGTCTCCCAAATATATTTTTTATTACATTTTTATAAAGAGAGGATTACTAGTAAGGGACTCTATTGCTTATCATAACACTATGTTAATTTGACCTCCACGGGGGACCACCTGGACACCATCGTTGTTAATTCCAGATGAACTAGCCACTATTCCTGAGGATTACTGTGTCATGTCAGTGTATTCTATAATTTAACAACCATATTTCTCTTTTATACTTGGACAAAATCCCTCATCCAGAGAAGCGGATACTGTGAGCCTCTTACACATTAAAAACTCGAAGATGTCCCTCGTCCAACTCCATATGTTGGAGTATTGAGATCGAAACATAAGCCACACCCCTAACACAACATAAGTAAACTTGGTGAACAATTAGAGGCTCATGCTATGGGTAAAATTTAGGTAGATAAACTGCAAGGGCAACATTTGTTACAATACTATATACAATACTATAATCATTATTAATGTTTTACCTTGTGGCAATCGGAGAATTTCACAAATATTGTAGCACAAAGCGCAGCCGTGATCGCTACAACTTTCTGTTTAAAAAAATATTGCCAATGTTAATTTTAAACATTAAAATACAAAAGAAGAAAATAAATTTCGTTAAACTGTTGAAAGCTCTACTTCATAATAGAGCAGATTAAACCGTTAATGAATATCTAGAAAATACTAAAGTTCATGAATTCAAAGGTACATGTGCAAGTTATATTTATGTATATACTAGCAATTTTGATGCAATAAATAAATAAGAGCAGATCAGTTCCTACAAGGAATACCTATTCACGAGTAGAACGAATGTGCAAGCCAAAATTGCGCTCTACCAAATTTTAATGATTAAATTTCCATAACCACCGGCTGGTAATATAATTAACGTAATGCATACGAGAAGGTCATATTAGTCCTTATTGATTCGGTAATACTCGATAAAACATTCGGTAAGTCACATAAGTATGATAAGAGAAATATAAAACGACTATTACTTTATCTATGATAACGCTACAAACTGGTGTAAACTGGTACAAAACTATATATTTCGGGTAGCCTTAAAAGATAACAGAAAGAAAGAAAGAATATATTTTTTTGATAACACACATAGGGAATACAAAACAAATTTAATTCTCTCAATTTAGAACTGTAATGCGGAGTATTGGTAAAGTTATGTTCGCTCAGAATATGTTGAAGAAGATAGCACACATTCCAAACCCCTAGCAGTGCTCTCAGACTGAAGTAAAATATCAACTTATGTAAAATAAGTAATATGTCTTCCAAATATATTACATAATATTCTTAAGAGCTAATATTAATGATGAAAAATTGTATGTAATAATTAAACTAATAATAGAAATCAAAAAACATCAAAATACACTATTCAGATGAGTGATTGAAATATGAATCTATTCATAATCTATATCCTAAGACAGCAAATGGTGGATAAAACAGGAAATGACTTACCATCTTATAAATAATCCAATAACACTATTCACCATTGAAGTAAGATCACATCTGACGTACTATCGGTTATTCTCGTATTATATTGCAGTCTGAGTATTGTAATAATTTTCCTTAACAGCTGAGCGGGACGTTACAGTACCCTGCATATTTACATAGGCACCTCCACAGAACAAACCATACGTTGACGGCCTCGGTGATCTAACGGTTTGGCACACCGCCTTACTTCCGGTGGTTGCGGGTTCGATTCCTCGCACGGCACAAATATGTGTATTCATGAGTTGTTTGTATTGGTCTGGGTATTTTTTATGTATACCATGTATATATTTATGAATCAATATATATATATGTACATATTTGTATCAGTTATCTAATACCCATGACACTTTAACTAGCTTAATTTGGGTCTAGATGGCGTTGTGTGAATTGTCCTGAGAAAATGATTACTATATATTATCCCAAAGGCAAGGTCCATATCTATTATGTTTCCTTGATGTATAAAAAAAAATTATAAAAAATCTAGCCAGAATGGACACTAAATTAAAGTTGCATGGATGTATTAGTTAATTAATTACTAGTATATCGCGACACTGCCTATAATTCAGTTTATATTACTCTCTCGGTGCGTCATGGGCAATCCCGACTTCAAGGCTGAATGTTCCCGACAGCTCTCCATATAAAACGTGCTAGTATAAAAAATTTCTACTGTACTAATTACACACTATAAAATTTTGTACATCTTAATAATATTACACACGCGAAAGTTTGTAAGTATGGATGTTTGTTACTCTTTCACGCAAAAACTACTGAACGGATTTTTAAGGAATCTTTACAGTAATATAGCCTATTTATTAGAATAATATATAGTATATAAATTTTACGTGGATTACGGGAATACGTGGATAAAACCGCGGGAACAGCTAGTAATTGTATATTTTCATTAATTGTCAAAATATACATGAGGTTATGTGATATGTTGGTCCAAGGTTATTTATTGTATTAGTTTGTATCTTGTATTTTTGTAATGATAAAAAGTGTGATCTTGACCCCAATGACTTTGTAAGGCAGACGTAAGCATCTACTGTCACTCGAAAAATACAACTGACTTACCTATCTTTATGTTTTAATAAATATATATTCGCACCCAACACCCTTCCACACACACATATACACTCACATACATACACACACACGTCTTTTACAGTAGGAACAAATTCTTAATATAATAATAAATAACCCTAGAAGAGCGTGATCTCCTATCACAAGTATTTAATTATGCTTACAAGGAGATCCCAGCCCCGGCCTAAGGAAATATATAAATAAAAATATGTGATTGTTGATATGTAAAAATTTTGTAAAACATCTATGTTAATGAAATAAAATTTATTATTTATTTATCTTTATACAAAATGTTTACATCTTTAGAGGGAGGGAGATAGGGAATTTGGAGGGAGAGAGATAGGGAAAAGGGATTGTTAGTAATCCGGACTGTTGATCCCATTCCTAGCAAAGTACCATGTCAGCTTGACCTCCATGCGGCTTCCCTGGAAGCCATCGTGATAAATTCCTGGTGAATTTATGATGTTAGGTAAACCTGATCTCATCTCTTTCTACTCCTCATCTATTTCTCCTATCTCCTATCTGCCTTATCATTCTCCACTGGTGTACATGACAAGCTTTGTCTTACCTTTCAACCAAAACATCTGACAAGGCAAAATGAATAGTATAGTATAGCATAGAATACTATACTATTCAGAATATCATAGAAAAAAATAGAAAATTCTTTATTTAAATAAACTTACATTTAAGCACTTTTTAATAGTCATATTTATTTTTTTAATCTACCGCTAATTATACCGGAAAGCAGTCTCATCACTAGAAGAAAGAACAAGAAACTTCTGTGTTGCTCTTTTAAATTATTGTCTTAACTTTATATTTTTAAGTGGCAATGTGTAAATACATACTACTTTGTAATATTATGTCATCTGTGATAACTACCAACTAGCTCTAATTCATTAGAGTTAAAATATTAGACACACAACAAACTGGTTAAGTAAGTAAATAAGAGTAAGTCCCTAGAAACAGCATTCGTTCACAAGTATGACGGACGAGGCAGCCATCGTGCCAGCCAGACTGAAATAGATGAGATTAAGTACCCACAATATATGCAACATGACTGGTCACTACAAATTTTATAAACAAATAGCAAACTTAGGCCTTCCAGATTTTGAAAATTTGAATTTTGTTTGGCAAAATCTGCAAGTCTTTGTTAAAACGCCACTACACATCCTATGTGGTTGTAGCCTACTCTTGAATAAACGAAATATCAACTATCGAAAGTACGCACTTTATCCTAAAGAGATAAAAACTGTCGCACCAGAGCCATCCTTCAACTTTTTCCCTGGCGGGCCTAGGCAGCAAACTCTGAAAAAAGGCGAGCACAATAGATCTGTAGCGCGGTGGTTATACTCACCACTGTAGCGTTATATATGTTGTAATGTCGCTACTTAATATATTATTTATTGTAGTATGTAAGTAATGAGTATACCGGTAAATAATTGTACTATTTATTAAGTTTAGTATTTATTGGTATTGGTAATGTGCTACAATATTTATTAGAGACGCGAGTACTCAACGCGGAGTCGTAAAGCGGACTGATTTTACACTTAACTGAAATCTATGTTAATGGAGACGTAAACTAATTGTAAGGGTCTCAAGGGTCGACAGAAATATTACAAGTGTAGGCACAGATGTATGCAGGTTGTAGTGCTACAGGTATCTTTAGCACCGAGTAATAACCAAAATCCCTTAAAAATATACTGTCACAGACGACTTAACACTGAATCTACCTTGGTAGTATGGTAGTAGACTACGCTTTGTAGTCTGCACTTTCACGCTGTCATAAAATTGACAAAAGGAGTCGCAAGCGGAAACCAACAAATGTGTTAATAAATTGATCTACATTTTATAATCCAATACTTAATTATATCAGTTAATGCAGACCCCTCCCCTTTTTTTATAATAAAATCCAAGTTGACAACTCTATCACTTCATATCGTAAAATAAAACGGGTCAAGCACGAATCGGTAATCATTATAATATTTATTTATAAATTGTTTATTGTACTATATATTTACACAAAAAGTAAACAGAAAAGAGATATATATACATATGTATATACAATAGGCGGTCTTATAGCAAAAAGCAATCTCTTCCAGACAACCTGTAGGTAGAGAAAAACAACAAAAGTAAGGTGGCGCTTGAATAGCATGGAATATAAAGGTAATAATAGAGGTAGAATAATAATACAAATAATTATTATAAAACTAATACACATTATACTATATATATAAACACTACATGCAATATACAATATAAAACAATAATGTTATATGCAAAAAAACAAGACACACAGCAAGAAGGTCAGAAAAGGAATTTAAGTGGAGAGGTAACGGTGGTAAAATATTATTAAATTTTTTCACAACATAATTTATTTATACTGTACAAGGTATCTAATATTTTTTTTTATTGGGAGCTATTATTAGGTGTTTGAACCCTACGGAGATCTATAGATATCTAATGCTCATGAAATATATTAGAAGTATTACAGTATATCTTGTTTTTAACAAAACTAAGTTTGTTTATGTCGAGTTTTTGTTGACTTCTAGAATAGTCAGGTGCACTATTCTGTTTTTCCTGTAATATTTTTAAAGATGGTATATCTTAGTAACTTTACTTTTCTCAGTAACTTTAGTTATTTCGTTTTTATTATTTACAATATTGCACAGTAACAAATAGATAGACATAAAGACGGACTAATTATTACTTTTCGTTTTACCCTTCCGATACGTAATCCTAATTATGAATGATGCTTTGTATTGCCATCTTCTATTTCCTTATTTCAAGGCTAATTTTTATTTATTTTTGCTAATTGAGTTAGTTATGAATTTCAGAGCTTTATATAAAAATAAAATCTTCATTAGGTATTCTCATAGGAAGAGAATCAAAGAAACCTTTAGAGATATGACACAGAAAGAAGATTTGTCATTTACTTTAGCCATTTAATATTTATAGATCACTAACTGTGCCCGCAACTTCGTCCGCATATCGAAGTGACCTCGACCAAACAAAAAAATTAATAATCTAACCCAAAAAAAGCAAATAAAATGAAAGATTTTCCATACAAACTTCCATCAACTACAAATAACTTAAAAAATATAAGTAAAATTTTTTACTTAATTACATTAAGATGGATAATATTTTTACAAACTTTGAATGTCATATTTATTTGTATTTAATTAACAACCTCAAAAATAAGTTTCAAGTTTCTAGCTTCAAAAACGTCGATTCTTCCATACAACCTTTCATCCCCCCTTTAACCCCTTACAACCCTTTCATCGCATTAAAAAGTAGTCCTTTCTCAGGGCCTAGACTATTTGTGTACCAAATTTCATTTAAATCGATTCAGTAGTTTTGATCTGAAATCTAGACAGACAGACAGTCAGAGTTACTTTCGCATTTATAATATTAGTAAAGAGGATATAGATATATTTTGAAAAATCTATACAGAGACATTTTCTATTAAAAGTGCTTTACATTGTGTTAATTTTATACCGGAAAATTGAGCAAGTTGTTGGCAACATTGCTGATTGCAATAACATAAAACAATAAATAGAATCATATTGTATTTTGATTGACGAAATCAAAATGATTATATGAAATCCTTCATATCTTTCAATATTTATTTTCGATATTTTATGGGATTGAAGCCAGTTCTAGACTGACCGTGTTGGTAATTCGTAGCAAATTTATTAAAATTTAGTAAATATTAAAAATATATAATAAAAAAATAAAATTTAATTTAAAAATATAGTTAACAATGTCTCTCCTTGCTAAACATTTGTGTAAACACAATAATTGTTCCAGTCTGGTCAATATTCTTAAAAAGGTATAAAAAAATAGTGTATAAATAATAAAATTCACTTTAACATAAATAGCGTAGAATTATCCAAATTCTATGCTATTTATGTTAAAGAGAATAATAAATAAACGAACGAACGAAAGAAATTTATTATTTACATTTAATTTATTAATATTAATTAAATAGAAGTTGTCATTTAAATAAAAATAAGTTAGACACTATTTTTATTATCGATACGTATCTATATGGAAAATAATATATAACTTATTTCTATAGCTATTCAAATATAAAAAATCTTAATTTAGTATATACATATATATATACTAGTTTCTATATATATTCTGGCCTCTATATGCTTTTTTTATGGGTAATGGGACAGTGCGCCCTCCTAAGCTAACAGTATACGCTGGCTGGGCTCCAATGGATCACGAAAAGATAACAATAACATCAGGTTTTGGAACAAATTAGGGATTGAACACGGTTGTTTCCAGGAGGAACCGTGTGGAGGTCGATCTAACATTGTACAATGAGGTCGCTGGTCCCCACTATTATCAATCCCCTTCCCCTTCTCCATATGCTAGACTACCATCAGCCCAGACTTATATTTTGTTTGGCAGAGTAATTGTATAAATGTCGTGTATTTCAGAGGAATTTGACCACAAATCCTATAGTGGCTGTGGAGCAAGGTAAATTGAAAGGAGCAGCATCTAAACTCCTGGACGGATCAGAGTACTACAGCTTCAAGGGTATACCCTATGCACAGCCGCCAATTAGAGACCTCAGATTTAAGGTAAGTTTAATATTATTAATTAAACGTACCTTAACTTATAATGACGATGGCCGCGGGTTCGATTCCTCGCACGATGCAAACATTTGTATTCATTAGTATAATCGTTTGTATCGATCTGATTGTATCCTTTGTCTATATATATATATATATATATATATATATATATATATATATATATATATCAGTTGTCTAGTACCCATAACATAAGTTCTGCTTACCGTTGGACTAGACGGCGCTGTGTTAATTGTTCAGGATTATTTATTTATTATTAATTATATTTGTTTAAAATAAGTATATACGTTTTTTCATTCGATCGTATAATTAGCAAAGATTATTTCATTGTTCCCTTAGTTTCAATTTTCATTATGCTATTAACTCAAATAGTAGGTAATATAATCTATAATAACCATATATCAAATTAATTCAAATCATTTATTCATATAGATAAATTTCAGCCGCTTTTGGACGTCAAGTTTTTTGTGCTAATATTTTTTTTCTACTGTAAAGTAATGTTACTTTGTAGTACTTTAGTAGTCGAGTTCTAGGGCCGTATTATGAACTCTTATTCCCATTCAGTTTACGGCTTAAACTGAACTGCCTGGCGATTTCGTATTACGAACGCTATTAGCCAGCCAGTCAGCGGTCACGTGACAGCTGAACGTCTTCTGCCCGAAAACTGACCGGCTATTTCGTATTATGAGCGTTTCATTTGACAGATCTAAGCGGACGCAACTGTCAAAAAGACCGTTTAAAAACAATTCAGTTTACGGTGGCTTCATATTAGCTTTTATAGAATTGTTTTCTAATTTATAGCTTCATTATTGTAATTTGGTTATTATTTCTATTTCTATGTCAGTTTTTATTATGTTTAAAACATGTTTGTGCAGTTATTTCGATTGTTTTTGTTTCGTTTTAATTTTAATTATGTGTGATGAACTCGAAGTATTGGAGTTTTTGGAAATGTGTGCACCCTACGAAAAAGAAGTAAGGAAAGTGAAAAGACGGTGATTACGCGACCAATCCAATCAAAATGAACAATTTAGAAAACGTTATAATCTAAATAAAGATTTGGTGCGTAATATGCGTGCGAACTCATATGCCGGTATCATCGAAATTTACAGACCTACCAGTGGAAACTAAGGTATAATGTATTGTAATTATTTCACTAAATCACTAGCTGACTATGTCAGGTTTTAGTAGGATTATTATTTATGCTACAGGCATATTTATCAACGGCCTATTAGTGATATTGCTGTTCATTCTTTAGTACAGCCAATGGCAAATAACCGATTTATTGCATTTACCCAACATCCAAAAGTAAATACATATATAAAATTCCAAGGACATCTGAGTAAAGGATAGATAATAAATATTCAAAGGTATCTATTTCTATACAATTAGCAACTCTATGAGTACCATGTAACATACCATATGATATAGTGATAATATATATGGTAAAATGTATGCATACAAGTAAAGCCTAGAAAGCAAGTATACAAGTATACAACAGTCTGATGATGTGCAGTCTCTCCGGCACTTTCCTCCGAGGACAATTAATTAAATTAAATTAATTATATTTTAGGTTTTATAATTGGAATTTGGAATGCTGGGTGTATTGGGCTGTATTTGACTGTACACATGCCACCCCATTGTAAATTAAGAAGAGATATTACTGTAGAAAACAATACCATTCATTAAATATATAATTGGTAAGTGAAATATAAATTAAAAGACATGTTTAATAATATAAGCACTTTTAATATCTTTTTTTAATATAATTATATACATTAACAATAAACAAGATTTTAGACATGCAAAATATGTTAATGATTATACATCTCTAAAGCTACTTATATACTAACAATAAATTGTTTACTTAAATATTAAATGACCATAACACTTAGACATATGTTTCAAATAATATTTATCCATTAATTATTCTCTTATGTTTCAAATAATCTTCATCTATGTAATTAATCTGGAAAAAAAATTTAGGTTAGTAATGCTGACATGGAGATTATAAGTGTGGATGCCAACTGGAACTGGAGCTACTCATGACATTTGGGCAAAGCAGAGGCATTAGGCAACATCTAGAGGACTTAAGCTGGAATAAATCCTTATGATTACTTGGTAAGCACAAAATTTTATTATGAAACTATAAACATCATTAAATCTAAGCTCTAAACTTCAGTAATTTAGAAACATAGTTATTTATCAGCACCAACAGTTATTGTGCTGTGTTTTTAATGAAATAATACTTTTTGTAAATAAATATTAATATTATAGTATATAATATGTTGTTTTTTTTTTAGGAGATCCAGGATATGCTTTGGAGAAGTATACTCCCATCTCAAATGTTATATCAGGACCACAAGAAGCATATTACACTGTAAGAACATGGAATATCATTGAGAGCACAATTGGGCTTCTAGATTTAGATGCCTACATGTACTTTGAGCTCTTATAGAGAACTAAATGAAGGTCTAGCTGCTAGACAAACCCATGTTGTTTAGTTGTGGAACTAAGAAATTGAAACATTTATAAATAATAATATTGTTAATAGCTCAATGTTTTAATTATTTGTTTTTATAATAAATGATATAGGTACATTATTTATGTCTTTTATTGGTAGTTATAATTAAAGGGATATGATAATTTTATTATATACTAGTTATTACCTATGACTTTGTCCATATGGCATACCTAGTTTTTGTTAAAATAAATAAAATATCTCAAATAAAAGCAACTTGTTACTCCTTTACACAACTCATTACATATGACAGTGAAAGTATCCCTCAAATTTGGCCCAGCTGTTTCAAAGATTAGCAAGAACAAACAAATGGACAGACAACTATTTTTTTTTAATGTCATTTATCTTACCTTCTATATGTATGCATTTACTGAAAAGCTGTTGTATGGTGAACTTCAAAATTACAAACAGATACTTCAATTTATTTGCATAGATACATGTATTTCAGATTTTACTGAGATTCCTATTAAATGAAATAAATTAAAATTCAGATGGTTACCTTATAACACTTAAACTTGACAATCCTTTCCAGTCTTTAAAACCCCTAAGGAGTGTAATTGTTGAGCGACGTCCTCACACAAGCGATTGGTATGGTATTCTTGGGCGGACTTATTAAAGCCACTTGCCATTTCCTTATGGGATTTTAAAAATCCCATATAATTTCAAATTACCGGTACGATACACGACGTAGGCGAGAGGTTTCAGTCCGTGATCTACAATTTAGTTAGATAAATATACAAATATAAACATTTAAATATTTGCATCATTTTAAAAAAACATTACTAAGAAAATGTTAGGAATACTTACGTTACATTAGGTATATTTTTCACAACAATTGAATTATTAAATTTAACTTGCGTATAAAGTCATGGAAAGGCTAAGTTTCAAATTGTACATTAAAATCAGAATTAAGTACTTTGCGCGGAATTTTAAGTAGATGCACAAAGTTCGTTTGGATATTATAATGAAAATATTTTTTACAAATAAATCCGAATTATTAAAAAAGACAATAAAACTGTCTGGAATATTTTTGTATATTACACAAATTCTACCATTGTATCTTAATTACTGTTTTCTATATTTAATTTACATTTATTTAATTAATATTTTGTCCAAAAAGTGACACACAAAAACTCAACTTAACGTTGCAACGAATGTATGCGTATCCGAACGCAGCGCGAGAAAATCCACTAACCAGCCAGAGACAAACTATCCAGGCAGAATACGGTTTGAATTTGGACCCTCATAATACGAAAAAGAACAATTCAGTTTAAGGCCGTAAACTGAACTGCCTGGAAACTGACTGGATTTTAAAGAGTTCATAATACGCCCCCTAGATATACAATAAATTATTTTCGTTTAATTCCAATATTGTAGAAATAGTTGCATTAATGAGTATCAGAATTTATATTGGTTTTCTGTGTATATTATCTATATATGTTTAAAAAAACTGTTCTATGTATTTATATCAGTTGTCTAGTACCCATAACACAAGTTTTGGTTAGCTTGGGATTAGATGACGCTGTGAAAATTATCCAAGGATATTATTATTGTTCTAAGGCCCAAAAATGGACTAAAATATAGGATGCATTCGTGGTTGTGGCTTAGTAGTTTCTTACCTTGAATTAAACTCAAAAGGTCATCAGTTTAAATCTGGCCCAAACATAAAAAAGTTTTTTTATATCAAGTTATACTTCTTACTTAATTATATATAATTTTCTAGATTGTATGTTTTAAATATAATTTTCAGGCGCCATTGCCACCCAAATCTTGGGACGGTGTATATGAAGCCACAAAACATGGACCTGTATGCCCCCAATTAAACACAATTACTGCAAAGGTGATAGAAGGCAATGAAGATTGTTTATATCTTAACGTATACACAAAATCACTGGCACCCAGTGATAAGTTGCCTGTAATGGTGTTTATCCACGGTGGAGCACTTATGTCTGGATCGGGTAATTCTGATGCGTATGGTCCAGACTTTCTCTTACAACATGATGTTATATTGGTAACATTAAACTACAGACTTGAAGTATTGGGATTTCTAAATCTCGATATTCCTGAAGTACCTGGAAATGCAGGTATGAAAGATCAGGTTGCTGCACTTAAGTGGGTAAAAAGTAATATTGCTAAATTTGGCGGTGATCCAGATAATATAACCCTCATTGGTGAAAGCGCTAGTGCAGCAGGAGTCACAAGTCACATGATTTCATCAATGTCCAAAGGATTGTTTAACAAAGCCATAGCACAAAGTGGAACCGTTATGGATGACTGGATGCGGAATAGAGACTCGCAAGCACGAGCTTTTAGACTTGGTAAAGTTTTAGGAAAAGATACCGATAACCCAGTAGACTTATTGAAATTCCTTCAAAGCGTCCCTGCTACTAATTTCGCGGGATCTACGCTCAAAATAAGAACATTCGAAGAGTCAAACAGAGGTGGGCCTATACTCTTTACTCCTATAGTTGAAAAGGATTTTGGTAACGTGGAGCCTTTTTTAAATGTGGATCCAGTTAATGCTATTGCTTCTGGAAATGTTAGTAAAATACCTGTACTTACAGGTTACAATTCTTTAGAAGCTATTATGATGATAGGGACTATACGCAAAAAAGCAGAATTTAGAAGCAAGAATCCTGATTATCTCGTACCCAAAGAAATTGTGTTTAATAATGTGTCAGCAGAGAAATTGAAAGAATTTGGAAATCGTATTAAAAAGTTTTACGTTGGCGACGGGGAATTCAATGATGATACAATTGAGGCACAAATTCATATGTTGTCTGATTACCATTATACTTATAGTATTAACAGGTTTACATATTTGTACAGTAAAACTGATCAGCCAATTTATAACTACGTACTAGATTACAATTCTGATATGAATCTATTTAAGAAAATGCTGAAAGTAAAGCACATTAAGGGGATGTGTCATGCCGAAGACCAGTTTTACTTATTCTCTAATAAATCCACCACCGATATATATAAAGCGCAGGAGAATATTAGGAATATGGTGTATACGCTGACAAAGTTATGGACTAACTTCGCGAAAACTAGGTATGTTTATATCTTATTTCCTATCCTTTATAGTATTCTAGTTTGTCCAAGTAAGGTTGAGTGTGTTGTCACATGAATTTAATGTAGAAGTATTTCTATCAGTGGTATATGGCAGTACCCACAACACAAACGCCGCTTAACTTGAGACTAGACGACTCTGTAAAATTGTCCTGGAGTGGAGAAAGAAAAGTAAAACGGTAAAGTAATTCCTTACACAAATATGATATTATTAAAATATAGTGTCAGCTAGGAAGATGTCGCTGTTTTTTACATATACATTTATAAGAAACCTGACCACCGCTTCTAGAACCTTTACGACCTTCTCTATTAGTGATCAAGTTCCGATCGTTATTTAGTCTACACCCATATCGTAACATAAATTTTGTCTCTAAACGAAGTATCATCGGGCAACGAATAGAGTTTCGATATAGAGCCTAGTGTTGACTATTCGGTGACCAGACTAAGAATTTGTCCTTACGTAATATATTTATAAACTATTGCCATACAAAATGCTTAGGCAATCCACAGATAAATTTATACAATCACGTGGAGTAAAGGTATAATAGAATTAACTATTTTCTCTTATCGGTTGGCAATCTTTCTCAGATATCCTTTATAATATATATTATTACTTTTATCTATTTTCATATAACACTATACCCAAATACAACTATCAATCAGATGAAATTAGTGTAATTACTGTTTATTTTTAAACGTCGATAAAGAAAGATATTTCTTTTACAATAGCGGATAAACAATGATCTCTTTATTTATAGCCTTAAGATAAATATGTGATGATAAAATATATATAGGTAATTATTATCATTACGCCACTATTTAACTTACTGCAGTTTTAGACAGGGCAATATCTTTTATAAAATTGCACGTTTAGTTATGTAAGGTTTAGGTGTAGTCTTGCCGACGTCATCTTCATTCATTCTCACTCATCTTCACCACTCAGGTTTCTTTCCTTACAGTGCAGCTTTAGATACACGTTCTAGTATAGAACTTACACACTCTACTTTGTAGTACAACGTTTTAGCTGTGCCCGCGACTTCGTCCGCATAAAATATATAACAATCTAACCCAAAAAAGACAAAGATTTCATCGTTCTAGCTTCAAAAATGAAGAATATCCATAACCAGGTTATGAATATTCTTCATTTTCAGGTTATGGATATTCTTCATTTTTGAAGCTAGAACGATGAAATCTTTGCCTTTTTTGTAATTTTTATTTAAGCCCCTTAAGAGTAAGGTTTCAACAAACTTTGAATGTCATATTAATTTATCTTTAATCAACAGCCTAAAAAATAAAGTTAAAATTTAATTATTTAAAAAAAATTAATTAAACAAACAGACAGAGTTGCTGTCGCATTTATAATATTAGTAATGATTAGGAAAATATTCGACACTATATATGTATGAATTAGAATCATTTCCAGACAGATTTTATTATCGCTATATTTATTATACTTATCTTTACATTTGATTGTAAGTAGGTAATAAATCGGAATAAATTATACACGTAATTCTGGGTTTATAGTTATAAACGCCCATATTATATCTATAGCCGATATTATAGCTTATTCGTCACCAATAATCATGCATAGCTACTACAATCAGGGCTGTCTATCACCTATTGAGGCCCTGGGCACATTAGGATAATGGGCCCCCTACGACTATAGTAATATAGCACTATTTTGTTAGAATAGACAAAATAATTTTTGAACATGACTCTTTAAAGATGTATATGGGGATGCTCTACCTTTAAAAAGTCGTTATGTGATGAGGGGTTCAAGGTCTTGCTAACATTTATAAAAAAAAAAAATAATAACCAACAAATATATAGTCGGTAAGTTATTTTTGACGACCTTGGTGGTATAGCGGTCCAGCACACCGCTTTATATCCAATGGTCGCGGGTTCGATTCCTCGCACGGCACAAACATTTGTATTCACGAGTATGATAGTTTGTATCGGTCTGGGTATTTTCTATGTATAATATGTATGTATTTACGAAAAAAAAAATATCTATGTATTTGTATCAGTTATCTAGTACCCATAACACAAGCTTTAGCTAGCTTAACTTGGAACTAGATGGCGCTGTGTGAATTGTCCTGAGATTATTATTATTATTTTCTAGGGTAGGATAGCAGTCGATTATCGTTTAGTAATAGAGTAGGGAGTAGACTAGACTAGTGAGCCCCAATCTATCGTGGGGCCCTGGGCACGTGCCCAGTGGGGAAGAAGGGCCTCCTTACAATGGGCTTTCTAACCTATACTAATATTATAAAGCTAAAGAGTTTGTTTGTTTGAACGCGCTAATCTCAGGAACTACTAGCTCGAATTGGTAAATTATTTTTGTGTTAGATAGTCCATTTGTCGAGGATAAAGCGTGCCTCGCTAGCTATATGACATTATACTACGACCAATAGGAGCGGAGCTGCAATGGAAAATATTACAAAAGGTGGGGAAATGAAACAGACGAAGTTGCGCGGGATAGCTAGTTGTATATATACATATATATATCGTTTGTATTCTTTACACGTGGAGGTCTTAATCTTTTCTTATCATTTTTATGACTAGAAGAACTAGTAGCTAAGCTGGCTGCACATTTGTTCATTGATAAATGGCAAGTGATAACGGTCGACTACGTAGAAGAACGGCACCACGGACATCACGGTATCATGTGATGCCCGTGATACTCGTAATGGGTTGATATTGTTATTACCAACAAAGGTGTCAGGTCATGCAAAAAAAAACAAAACAAAAAAATTAAAAAAGTATAAATAATTCTCAAAGATGAGACTAGTTCCTAGTTAGATTAGGTAATACTAGCTGTACTCGCGGATTCAGCCTCGGGAAATTTATAGCCTATATGTTATTCTGATGTATAAGCAACATTACTGCAAAGTTTCATCAAAATCCGTTCAGTAGTTTTTGCGTGGAAGAGGAACTCACAAACTTTCGCGTATATAATATATATTAAAATAAGATTACGTTATCTGTGGTTAGGTTACGTTGTAAGTATATCTTGTCCTAGTAGCCTATTTTTTTTTATTTCCTGCTTATATTAAAGAGCTTAAAGCCAGTCTGGGGGCAACAACCCCCGGGGGTTGTTGCCCATCCATGCCGGGATAAAGGTGCTCGTTCCAAGGCCCCAACCTGCACTTTAGGGATGTGCGGATAACCCTGTTTATTCACTCAGGTGTGATGCGTTCGTACCTTGTAATTTTACTGTCATATCTTCTCTCTCTGTTTGTCATATATCATTTCTCCTCCATCCTTTCATGTCCTCGGTGGTCTATCGGTTTAGCACACACATCACTCCCGATTGTCAGGGTACAAATATTTGTATTTATGAGTATGTTACACAAGCCTAGTATAGGAGGATTGTACTGTCCCCAATAAACAGTGCACGCGGCACCAAATGTTATATAAAGTAATCATTATCTGTTCTAACATCGAACTATAAGCATTGTAATTATTATTTTATATTAATAAATCTAATTTAAGAAAAAGGTTGGATTTTTTACAACCTCCGGCTGTAGAATTGTATTGACAACGACAATTACAAGGCTTATAACAGAACAGCAGAGAGGGTGGACTCACTGCCCCCTCTGAGTTATTGACCGTTTTGTCTCGTTTATTACTTTTAAATTTTATTATAATCAGCAATTGTATTAGTTTTTATTATAATTGACAAAGTCTCTGATCTAAATATATATATTATAACTCAAAGGTGACTGACATAGTGATCTATCAACGCACAGCCCAAACCACTGGACGGATCGGGCTGAAATTTGGCATGCAGGTAGATGTTATGACGTAGGCATCCGCTAAGAAAGGATTTTGATTAATTCTACCCCCAAAGGGATGAAAATTTGTATGAAACTTTGTCAATTTTAAACCGATCGGGCTGAGACTTTGCATGCATAAAGCTACTATTACGTAAGCATCCCCTAAGAAAGGATTTTGATAAATTCCATCCCTAAGGCGATGGGAAGGGCAAAAGCTAGTTATAAGATAAAGCCTATATATACCTAATAAAAATAACGGTATGTTTATCGTCATTTTGTCTACAGCGATCCAACGCCAGACGAGAGCTTAGGAGTGAAGTGGAATCCATACACGCCATCTGGCAAGGAATACCTACATATCGGAGAGCCTCTCAGGATGGGGCACGCTGCCAACAGTGAAAGAGTCGAATTTTGGAACCAACTTTTCCGTGATGCGGGACTCCCACATGTTATTTCTTCTAAAAACAATTAATAATATCTTCATTCATAATTTAAGTGCCGCTCTCTTGACGAAAGAGATCCTAAACCTAATTAAATTGGATTTTCGTACCTGTCTTCCTATATTATGACAATTGAACAGAGCATTTAAGCAATTAACACTAAGTTTTATAAGGTACCCGCAGCGTCTTCGCACGGGTGTACATGTATTATACATATAAACTTTCCTCTTGAAATCTTTCTATATATTGCTAAAACTGCATGAAAATCCGTTTCGTAATTTAAAAGATATAAGCGAACAGACAACGGAAGCCCCTTCATTTAATATACATAATGTGTAACCTTTAGTTTCTTAAAAAAAGAAAAGTTAAAAAGTTAAACATTGTTGTAAAAATATTGTACATTTTTTTACAACAATGTTTTATGCGGACACAACGTTTAAAATGAATTTACTTAAACAAATGCTCGGGAATATGGATATAGTCGGAGGCAAGCCTGTGCACATGTTTTTATGCTATTCCAAATAAAAGTAGATCATATATGTAATGTGTTAAATGTATAAAAAGTTATATATTAAACTATAAATACTAAAACAATATACTATTTCTAGTTTAAATCGATGTTTAAAAAAGGCGGGTTTTTTTTTTTCAATAAATCCGTGAAAAACCGGAATTATGAAGACTTGTGTATAGTCGAAAAGTATCGATATTTTTTCATATATTACACACAAGCAGCCTGATGAAATATTTTCACATAAACTATAATCAGTAACTATGTTACACACATATGCAGTCATTAGATTATATAAAAGCATTCTAATCATTGTAGAAACCGATATTCAACGGTTTTATAAAACGATAACACCACTAGCGTAAAGAATGTGACCAGATTTAGTAGATTTTTGCTATTTTAGCAATTTTGTCTGACATTATGAACTTCGGCATATATTTTTATTTAAATTGAATTTTGAAATAATTAATCTATAATAGTTCATATGTACCTACGATATTTAGAAAATTTTTATTTTAGCTTGATCGAAGTATTAGACAATACTTTGAGTAAGCTAAATAAAATTTTCTTCGAGTAAGCTAAAAGAATATCGAGATTTAATTAGTGTTATATCTTAAACTGATAATTCATTAGCAATAATGAAGCCCGTTCTTGTGAGTAAATACAGGCTCTCTGTATTAAATCCTTTGATTGAAGCTTAAGAATAGACAATTATATTTATAAATTAATCACAAATCATTTTGGTACCTTCATTATTATTCATTGTTATTTTTACCACTTTTCCAGTGTAGGTATATAAGTATATTGTCAATATTAATCACGAATACTCTCTTAGAATAATGAAACCAGAACAATATAGTAGTTAGATTTATTTTTTTAAGTTTCTTTTTTGTATTTTAATCATTATTTGCATTAAGGTGGAAGCTGAACTAATTCATTACATTATTTTTATTATTAGGTTATAACAATAATGCGACGAATAATTAAAATATGTTGTGTTACGTTTTGCGTTTTCTTATATTTTGTATATTAAAATATTAGTGAGTACAAGTATTAGCCGAGATTTTTATTTGTATTTCCTTACCTACTATAAGGTACAATCTCATAAGGATGGATATGCAATTATGCATCCATCCTGCAAACTATCCCCTAATTTTTTTTGCAGTAGAATATTAAGTTATGTGACATAATTATATTTACTATTTATTGTGTGTTTATTTCTGACTGACTATCTGGTAAAGGAAATATTGGTAACTAACGAAAAAGTAACTCGGACGGTTTGATTGATGACGGAAATGACGGTATGATTTTGTTACGGTATAAAAAAAATTAGGGGATAGTTTACAGGAAGGATGTATAGATGGATATATTTGTGTTACTGTTTCACTTATAAAACTAATGAATTAATTTCAATTAATAGATACAGTAATTTAGCATATCATCCTTACCTGCAGTTGCATCTGCGTAAAATTTATAGCTTATGTTATTTTGATGTATGAGCTATATTACTGTAAAGTTTCATAAAAATCCGTTCAATAATTTTTGCGTGAAGGAGTAACAAACACACATCAATCCATCATAATATTAGTATACAGAAATATAATGTTATACTATATTATTATAACATAATTTAAGAAATTTTACATAAAAATATTCTGGCTAGAATTTGTTAGGACTTAACACAATAATAAAGAAAACAAAGAAAGAAAAAAACTTAGCACAATCACAAATTGAGAACTGGTCACACTATTAAAAAAACATTGATATTGTTTATTTATTTAATTTAGTTTTTTATTTTTTACTGGATGTAGGTAAATGCAATTTATATTATTGAGTTCTCATAATATATACAGCATCACCCAAACAAGTTATAAATGAAATTCAAGTAAATATTAAAATTATAAGCATAGCATAATTATAATATTAATGTTGTAGCTGTAATTATTACTTGTTATTACGGAATATGATGTAGTAGCAGAAATGTGACATTGTTCAAAGTTCAATCAACAATATTTTTATACATTTTAAAATCCTTCACCAAATTTCAACACTATCTGCAGCTTATCAGTAATTAACAATTATAGATACTTCATTCAGTGTACGTGTACATGATTATTGTTTTTTTTCTAGCCTGACCCAAAGTGTTTTTTCTTCTATTATTACCACAATGGTGAGTCTATGCTAATATTTAATATTATTTAATTACAGTTTATTTAATAATAATAATAATAATAATAAAGATAATAATAATATGTATATTTTGCTGAGAATATTTCATGAATCTACGGAACACTTCATATATAATTTAAGATATAAAATATAAAAGGAGTTTATTTAAACAAAAAATGCTTTTTACCACTTACAATACTTTTATAGAGACTTAAAAGTAAAAGATACATAGTCAACTGAGGAGATACCTCTGTTCCGTCTATTTCAGCTGCTAAGCAGCTTGTATCGTAAGATGTTTTGGTTGGAGAGTGAGATGTAGTAGTGATTTTACAGGATACGGAGACAAGACCATTGGCGTGCCAGGTTCAATGACTTTTCACAAATACTAACAAAGTACTATGTCGGATAACTCAATTTGAGCCTGCCTAGAAGCTATTGTTTTTTTTATTTATCTTGATGGACTAAATGACATAACTTCATCCACACCACAACATCTTCCACCTAAATAATATTTTTTTTATTTTGCAACCAATGTTTACAATTTAAATAGTTCCCTGTTACCTCAACTAAGTAGAAACTTGCATTTTAGGTACCCATTCCCTTCTCTAACAATTTACAATTATTGGAATTACAAATTAGAAAAAGACAATCAGTTAAAATCTTGCACATTAATGTAATTTATTTAGTTTGTATCATTAACAATCTCCTTTATAAGGATAGATAGAATAATGAGTTCTTTATCTTTATCAATAGATATTTAGATAAGCTTATTTTTTTGTAAACTAGAGTGCCTTTAATTTACACTAATTCCAATAAATATTGTAAAGGAATATAACATTCTTTATTCAAATAATCCTAAAATATAAGCAATTTTGAATAGTGATTCTTACTTTTTTAATCTACCACTGATTTGGAAAGCTGTCTCATCACAAGAAAAACAAACTAGAAACTTGTATGTTGCTCTTTTAAATTTTTGTTGTAACTTTACTTTTTATTTAAAATGTGTGAATTTTTATTTATTTATTGTCTTTTTGCTGATGATAAAGTTAGAGTTGGTGTTGTTTATTTATTATTTCTCTGCCTAGGTTCATCAGTTTGTCCTAAAACATAGGCCTTCTCCAAAAGACTCCATGTTCCTGTGTCCAATGCTCTCTCTATGTTGGTGGGGCCACTGCCCACCAAATGTGTGAATACAAACTACCAAATAGTAGTTCATTAGAGTCAAAATAATTAATCTAGTAATTTTTTTACCATATTAAAACTTTAATAAACTGTTTATTTTCAGAGGACCATGACCAGAAATCCTGTAGTAGGCATCATACAGGGCAAATTGAAAGGTTCCATATATAATTTACTGGATGGATCATCATGTTACAGCTTCAAGGGCATCCCTTATGCACAACCTCCGACTGGAAAGCTTAGATTTAAGGCAAGTAACATATTCTATGACATAGGACTTTAACAAAATACATTATTTTTTATTGGGTCATTTGGTCTATTGTCATATTTTTTTATTAAGGGGTTTGGGCTATGCTGGATGCTAAGAGCTGTAACACTGCGACCTACATAGATCTATTGTGTTCATTCAAAGTTACCTAGACCTGTGAGGGACAAGAATTGAAGGATATTCTTAGGAGCGATGGATTTTATCTCCTCGACATATAGTGTATACTTTTCAAAGGAGATATTTTGTTTATGCATGAGAGGGCTACAGCCACATAGGATGTGTAGAGGCATTTCCTCATTTAGATGGATACATACAAAATCATCTTCATGGGTACCTATGACTCTCCTAATTCTGCTGCTAAGGAGTTTGAATGTCTTCGTTATCTAGCGGTTTAACACACCTCTTTACTTCATTTGTCACAAGTTTAATTCCGTACATGGTAAAATAAATTTTATTCATAAGTAAGATTACATGTGTAGATGTAAGTATTTTGGTAACCTTAAATAAATAAGGAACAATAGTATTTTAAAGCTTCTACCTTGGTTGTCCCATAATTTGCATGTTTCTTATAAAGTTTAATAATAATAAGACTTGATTTTCATAAATTTTGTAATGTAATTTCAGGCACCATTACCACCCAAGCCTTGGACCGGTGTTTATGAAGCCATAAAGCATGGTCCTGTGTGCCCACAATATGACATGTTTACTTCTGAGGTAGTTAAAGGAGATGAAAATTGTTTGTTCCTTAATGTGTACACAAAATCACTCTCTCCTGAAGACAAATTACCTGTTATGGTGTTTATCCATGGTGGAGCTTACATGAGTGGATCGGGAAATGCAGCCATGTATGGACCAGATTATTTATTACAACATGATGTTATCCTAGTAACAATAAACTACAGGCTTGAGGTATTAGGTTTTTTAAATCTGGACATTCCAGAAGTTCCAGGTAATGCAGGCCTCAAAGATCAGCTTGCAGCACTTAAGTGGGTAAAAACGAATATCAGTAATTTTGGTGGTGATCCAAATAATATAACCATTTTCGGTGAAAGTGCCGGTTCAGCATCAGTAGCATGCCATCTGATATCCCCGTTATCAAAAGGCTTGTTCAACAAAGCTATAATGCAAAGTGGAACATGCATAGATGATTGGGCAATGTGTGGGGACTCAAAATTAAGAGCATTCCAAGTTGGCAAAGTTTTAGGAAAGGACACAGATAATCCACATGAATTATTGGAGTTTCTACAAAGCGTGCCTGCCGTTGATCTTGCTGCACTCACATTCAAAGTGAGATCTGACGATGAGAAACACAGAGGCCTACCAATAGTGTTTACGCCTACTGTTGAAAAGAAATTTGATAATGTCGAATCATTTTTTAATGTACATCCACTAGATGCATTAGCTGCAGGCAATGTCAATAAAGTGCCAATTGTAATTGGTTATAATTCAGCTGAGAGCATTCTAATGATACCAGATTTCATAAAGAAAGCAGAGTTTAATAATAAAAACCCGAAATATCTTGTACCCAAGGAAATATCACATAAACTACCTGAAGAGAAAGTGACAGAGTTTGGAGAACGCATTAAAAAGTTTTACCTTGGTGACAAAGATTTCTGTGAAGAACAAAATAATGCACAAGTTGATTTGTTGTCTGACAAATATTTCACGTATGGTGCTAATAGATTTGCATATTTGTTTGCCGCATCAGAACAGCCAATTTACAAGTACATATTTAACTATAATTCTGATTTGAATTTGTTAAAGACGATACTAGGACTGTCTGATTTGAATGGAACTTGTCACGCAGACGAACTGTTTTACTTGTTCTCTAATAGTTCAACAAAGGTGTTGTACAACGAGCAGAAAAAAGTAAGGGAATTGGTGTTCACACTGACAAAATTGTGGACTAACTTCGCTAAAACTAGGTATGAATATTTTTTTATATCTGAAAGTCACATTCATTTTATTCATATACAACAATCCTCCAAAATAAAAGAATAATAATTTCCGAATTGATCCACAGTTATAGGTCATTCATCAAAATATTCGTCCACGGAGTAAAAGCATTTTTTAATAAATATTTTTTAAGCTTTGTGTTGAAATTGTTTTTATAAAGATCATTTTTTAAATCATTGGCTAATTTATTAAATAGTTTTACAGATTGATAACATCCACTGTGTAACAACCTCTAATGTAGGTACTCTCACTATCCCTACTGTTAAATCTGCTAACATACTTAGTAGGCACTAAGATTTGATTAATTGATTTTACAATTATTATATGAATAGGTGAAGTTTGATGAGGTATGCAAATGTTGGGAGGATTTTGACGTAAAATTATACTATAGACATATCTTGTATGTCACGACAAGTGGGTTCGATTCCTGTCATCTTTTGTCATCATTTTATCTTTTGTACAGTCCATCTGTCGTTGTTTTGACATCCCTTACCGTACATACAATATTCACATTGTTATTTATAAGGTTGTCTGTAACAGAGTGCTTATATGATATGCTTATATCCTTTTGTCCTATTTTTTTCAATATTCTATTGTTTTGCTCTGTACCTAATAAAGAATCAACATTATTATTTATATCCTCAGCAACCCAACTCCAGATCAGAGCCTCAACGTGAATTGGAAGCCGTATACAGCATTCAACAAAGATTATCTAAGAATTGAAGAGCCTCTGGCGATTGCACAGGCTGCCAACAACGAGAGGATTGAATTCTGGAACAAATTGTACTGTGAAGCAGGTCTACCCTACATTGCTACCCGTAAGAGCAATCTGTAAAATGTAATCAATGGATTATAGTCATAATTATGTACGCAATAGAGTCGTAAGTTGTGTGTCACTAAGGTGGCTATAGTACAATCCTGAGTGGTGAGAAGTAAATATATTCTGAATTTAAAAATCAATATAAATAATTTTAATTAAAATATTATTTATTGATATTAAGAATTGGGTTTCAAACGTCGTTTAGATAATTAAAAAAAAATATAAAATTACGCATTTGGTCGGAAATTAACGCAATTATCTTATTCATAAGAAAGAACCATATGCAATTGGCAGAATTGTTTAAAATACAAGTAAAATGATTCAATAAAATGAAGAATTAAATTTCCATTGTAAAAAAATAAGTCTTATCCATAATAAAGTACCCATTGCAATTGGAAGAAAGTAATTGCAAAAAATGTAAGTAAAATAATTAACTGAAGTTAACAATTTATTCCTTTGTAAAAAAAAATAAGTAGATATAAAATCATAGAATCTACAAATAATACACTTGTAGATTCTATAATGATTTTTATATTCTTTCAAATTAGGATTCAAAATAGCTTGTTAATGAAAAGCAATACTTCAAAATTTCTACTTTACGATGAATTAGAAGGTAAAATAAGCGTTATAGAAATTACATGTGAAAATATGTAAATAGTGTACAGATTTATAAAATTATTTATTTATTAAGTACTAAGATTGGTATTAAATAATAGGGGTTGATGGTAGAAGGGCGAAAATTTAGGGGTTTCGCCCTTTTACCATCATTACAATTACATTAATACAATGTTTTTTACAAATACTGGCCCGATAAATTAATACGCCAGCTCGAACATATATTATGTATTAATTAAAAAAATAATTGATTTCCTCTCATACGAAAATTTGACAATTGTTAATTTATATGTTAAGCTTCCTTAACCATCTTACAAGTTTCTTTTCGACCGAGAGGAAATAATTGACGAAAAAACTCCGACTTGCGGATTATATCTTTTGATATAAAAATAAACAAAGTCGGGGGTAACAGCTAGCATAGCTAGGTAGGTAAGAATTAATAGGGGTGAAGTAAAACTGTGATTTTATAGTGCCTTATGTAACTAGGTATATAATAGTTAATGTATAATATTTTTATTAATTTTTGGTGCAATAAAATATATGTAAGAAATCGTATCGGCAAATAACGGCAAAATTTATTTATATTTCTATATATCTTTTTTATCTTTTTCATGGTATTAATTATTAGGTATTGTCTGTGATGAAATATATTGTTTTGTTTTAATTCACTTGTTTTATTATATATTATTAGAATCATTTAATAATATAGTTACTCCCACATGTCCCTAAATTAGTCCCCAGAAGCAGCACCCGTTCACGAGTGTGACGGATGAGCAATCATTTTAGAGGAAGCACATTGGCCCGGCCCACCACGCTGCCACAAGTTTGAACTTTATATATCTCACTGGCTGACCTGACTTCGTCTGCGTATCAGTACCCCACCTTTTGTAATATTTTTCATTGCAGCTCCGCTCCTATTGGTCGTAGCGTAATGTTATATAGCTGAAAGCAAACAAATGGACTAATAACACAAATTTTTTCAATTCGAACCAGTAGTTCCCGAGATTAGTGCGTTCAAATAAACAAATTCTTCAGCATTATAATATTAGTATAGTCATAATGATGACTATAGGTACTAATAATATTTATTACACTAGAAGTGTATGGAAGTGGGTAATGACCCACTTCCATATACTTCTAGTGGATTCTAGAAGTTTCGAGAATATTTTCTTTCCATAAACGCCGGTCTACTACGCAAACTAATTCCAATAGGATAACATTGTCCCAATATACTCGTGATCACACTGTTCAGCCTAATTTTGAACTTAAAAATAAATCTGTGTTTTTCACAATAATGTACAAGCATATTTGAAAAGAATAAGGCTGAGTTTCTTAGTTCTTGGCTCGAATGCTCTCCGAACTGATGAAGTTTTTTGACATGTAAGGAGTCTGTAAGAGACCTACATGAATAAGTATATTTTGATTTGATTATATTCCCAAGCTAAGCAGAGCTTCTGTTACATTAATAGACAACTAATACATATATTTAATAAACATTTTTTAATACATAATATACATAGAAAACATCGAGACCAATAAAACAATCATACTCATGAATATAAATTACTGTACCGTGCGAGTAACTTTTGGAAATAAGAGACATCATCAGTAGATTAAATATTAAAATGCTGAAGTTCACACGTTGACATGAGGAAAATTCCTGAGATATAAAAGTGACATATTCTTTAAAAATATATAATTACTAGCTGTCCCGGCAAACGTTGTTTTGCCATATAAATTAATAACGCTACAAAAAAATAGGGGTTCATGATAGAAGGGTGAAAATTTAGGATTGTACGTATTTTTGTATGTTTTATCATAAAAAAAAAGAAACTAAAAATTTTGTCTAAAAAATAAAAAAAAAATTAGGGGTGGACTACCCCTAAAATTTAGGGGGATGAAAAATAGATGTTGACCGATTCTCAGACCTACTCAATACGCTCACAAAATTTCATGAGAATCGGTCAAGCCGTTTCGGAGGAGTATGGGAACGAAAACTGTGACACGAGAATTTTATATATAAGATTCTATTCCAGCATTATACTTTCAACAGTAACTCCGTTGAGATAAAGCGGTGTACTAAATAGTTACATCACCGGGGCCGTCGAATATAAACAAATAGATACTGGGTGCTATTCGAAGATTTTATTTTGTATTGTTAAAAATCGAGTTTAAAGAGATGAACTTTTTATCATCCTTGGATTCACCGTGGGCATCGAGTCCATAGTGTGGCAGAAAGGGAGACTCCGAGCAGTTCAGTTTAACAGGTGTACAAGTGATGAAAAGAAATTATTGCGGTATTATAAATTCGAATAGATAAGCGTAATGAAGAGCTCAACGATCACCCATCAGCCCGTGTGAATCCGCGTCTCTTTCATTTATTTTTATGTATGTATGTATGACTAGCTGAACACGCGACACAGTCCGCGTGGAATTTAACTTTATTCTTCTAAAATAAAAGTAGCCTAAGTTACTCCTTATTACATCTACTACCTGCCAAAAAAGTCCCATCAAAATCGGTCCACTCATTTCAGAGATTAGATTTTGGTGTATGTACCGTATTTATATTCATATGCATGTAGTAAAAAACGGTTATTTCAATGTTACAAACAGACACTGCAATTTTGTTTGTATATATAGTATGTAGTATGTATCTATGTATAGATAAGTATCATTTTAGAACAGATCTCGATCGAACTTATTTGTTACTTTGTCAAACTCATATTATCAATTGACGTTGCCAGTATCTTCGGAACGTTGCCTAAAGGGCATTTTAATAATATATTTTAGTAATTATATTATATTTATTAAGCTTCTTAATTTTAGGTTCTTAGTTGTACAATTAAGTTATGCCAATAAAAATTCATAACATCTTTATAAGTAGTGTAAATAGAGCAACAAAAATGTCCAGATTGAAGTTAAGATAAAATTTCAGCGTCTGTTTATATATGGTATAGTATGGTACCCCTGCATGTCTGAACGGTATACGCTGGCTAGCACCAGGATGATCAGATAAAGAAAAGGTAAGGTGTATTAATGAACTAACTGATAGTTCATTAAGACAAATTCATGGTTTCCAGGGTAAACCGCGTGGAGGTCAACCTGCATTGTTAACAATAGGGTCATTAATCCATATTATTAAGAATCTCTTTTCCCCTCTGTCCTTCATTTACAGGTGCCAGCGACGATTCGATTTATTGACCTTGTAATGACAAGGTCAATATAAAAGGGCTGTAAAAATATGTATAGAAATATATAAATGGAGCCCCCATTGACTGTGGTGTAGCGGTCTAACACCGCCTTATTTCCAATAGCCGCGGGTTTGATTCCTCGAACGATGCAAATATTTGTATTCCGGAGAATGTTTGTTTGTGTCAGTCTGGATGTTTTATATCTATGTTATGTATCTACCAATATTAATTAAGGAGAAGAACTCCCTAATTTAATTTATAAATAATTCTGTATTATTATAATTATGTACTTATGTACAACTAGCTGACCCGTGCAACTTCGTCTGCATTACACTTGATATTTATCATTATATTTCGCCTAATTTACATACTGTAATGCATTCACTATAGCCTATGTATTATTCTAATGTACCTATAAGTTATATTACAGTAAAGTTTTATCAAAATCCGTTCAGTAGTTTTTGCGTGAAAGAGTAACAAACACCCATCCTATCCATCCATACTCAAAAACTTTCGAGTTTATAATATTAGAATGTTAGGTTTTCAAATGAGACGTTCATTTGAAAACCCCGAGAACAGAAGGTAGATTTAGTTTATACTAGAATAATGGTGAATTATATATTTGATAAGAGTCGGTAATAGGGTCTATAAGTCTATAAGACTAAATATATTTTAAGTTGGTTTAAGATTCAAGATTCTTTATTTGTAAAACATGCGTGATTACATAAGTATATGATATACATACAAAGAATTTGTCCGACATGTTTAGCCTAGATGGCATACAATATATTTAAATGCTACAATAAAATATTAAATTTAAATGTTAAACAATAATAATTAATTTGTCAATTTTGTACAAAGTTTGCTTCTCTATAGCAAATATGTGTTTCTACAACTGATAAGGAAATAGTAAGAAATAAAAATTAATCTTTATACAAATAAACTCAAAACAAGCACTTTTGAATAGTTATATTTTTTATTCTACCACTCATTCGGAAAGCCGATTCATCACAAGAAGAATGAGCAAGAAACTTGTGTGTTGCTTTTTTGAATAGATAAGGATTAATTTGATCCTGTAGTGGTAGTATATTAATTTTTTAATCAAAATACAGAACATATTATACAAAAACATAATAGAAAGGCCAAAATGGATATAAGAATGAAATTTTCATCGGTTACTTAGTTGTAAAATTGAAAGGGAAAATTCTTTATTAGTATAGTCAAACGGTTTTTAACATGAATAATTTTATGCTGTATAAATGTATTCATTTAGCTTTCGAAATCTACCTAGTCAAAACGTCGATCTACCTATTTTAGTCGTACAAACGTCGAGAGAGAATTACCTATAATTATTTATTTTTATAAAGGAGATTAATATACATACATATATCTTTATATAGCAAAAATATTTGTGTTGAAACCCATTTAACTACATATATTAATAATATGTACTAAATGCGAAAGTTGAAAAATTCTTTGCCAATAATATAAGTATGTATATAAGGGAAAATACATAGCATTAGGTAGTTATAATATAGTTATTATAC